CGCCCCCCCCGCCCAGCAAGCCCGCCCCGCCCAATAAGGACCAGCCCCTTTCCATGGCGCAGGCGCAGACCCGCGTGGTGCGCCGCATCGAGCGCTCTCGTGCTCGGCGCTCAGTCCGCGTCTGTCAGCCTCCCTTCCGGTTCCGCAGGTACGACTGCCGAGCGCCGAGCAGCCGATGGACATGGCGGTCCCGGCCGTGTGAGGATCCGCCAGGCCCAGATTCCGGGCCGCAGACGAGACGGGCTTCCCGCCCGCGGCCGGTCGGGTACCGAGGGCTGTTGCTGGGGGCTCGCTCGGGAGCGGTGCGGTACGTTCTGGTGTCCGCGCGCGGGTCGCGCTGTGCGGCGGGCGGTGGTGGCGCGCGGGATGTGCGTGCGCGGGTTCCCAGCGGTCCGCGGCAGGCAGTGGCGTCCGGACTCGGCCAGGTCCTCTGTGTCGCGTGTCCGGCCGGGTCTCGGTGGCGGGCGGTGTCCCTGGCAGGCCTGGGGACCGGGTAGCGCTGAGGCTCGCGGGAGCGCCGGGGCGGGGCGTTGGCGCAGGGCTCTGTATGGGGCCCGCACGTTGAGGACTGTGGTTTAGGGTTCATTCATTCATTCATGGGCTTTTTTCTTTCTTTGTTTTTTTTTAGTACTGTGGGTGAAACCAGGGCCTTCGCACTGAGGTGCACCCCCAACTCTCTTTATTTTGAGACAGTGTCTTTCTAAGTTTCCCAGGCTGGCCTCCAGCTTGTGATTCTCCTGCCTCAGCCTCCCGAGTGGGCCTGTGGCGCCACGCTGGGACCATGGAGCTTTATTACGCTTCTTGCTTGTGTGTGCCAGACGGGCACAGTGCTAGACCCCCGAGGTGTGGTACTGGGGAGAAAGACCTGGTCTGTGCCCTGACAGCTCTTTCGCTTGTACTGTTTAGTTCTTCGCTTGTGTGCATGTGATGCGCGCTGAGATGAATGGCTTTTGCTGGACACAGCTTTGAGTAAGAGCCGGCTCAGAAGCTGAGGTTTGGCCCGGCTTGGAGGAGTGAGTATGCGGCAGGGGCAGGGGCCTGAAAGAGGCTGCCAGTCACAGCTGGCCATGGAGGGAACAGGTCCGACCTGGAGGTGCAGTTTCAGGGATGAGCTGGGACAAGGGCTGGGAACTGTGTGGATGTGATCACCGGGTTTCTTAGCTGGAGGGAAGAGCAGGCTGGTGTCTCCTTTGTTTATTCTCTGAGCTGCTGCCACCCTCAACTTTGAGGACCAGGTGTTCCCCTCATCGCCCCACCAGGTTATCCCCAGCCGAAGGTCACGCGTGCTACACTGTGATTTGTGGCCCCAGCTCTGTCGGGGAGAAGGTCCTCCAGCTCTGTTTGAATTCTCTTTATGGCTAGGAGTTCTGCTGAGGTGACATTGAAAGTGACTTCAATAAGGCAGAAAATGGAACTAAGTTTTATGTTTGAAGTAGTGAGAGCACTAGGCTTGCTGTTCCGCTGTCACTGGTTTATTAAATGTGGTAAGCTGGAGAGGAGTTACTCTGCAAATACTAAATAGGTTTTTCTTTTTGTATTTACTATTCGGGGTTTTGTTTTGTTTTGTTTTGTTTTTGCCTTTTTGAGACAGGGTCTCACTATGCAGCTCAGGCTGGCTTTGAGCTAACTTTGTAGCCCAGGCGGGCCTGGAACTCAGCGATCCTCCTGCTTCAGCTTCTTGAGTGCTGGGATTACAGGCGTGCGCCACCACACCCAGCCCAGTCTTTATTTACTATTTGTTAAGAGATAGGGTCTTGCTGCGTTGCTCAGGCAACCTCCTGTCTTGGCCTCCCAGGTGTCTGTAACCACAGGCCTGTGCCACTGCACCTGGGTGTTTTTTCTTTCTGACCCATATATTTCTACTGTTCCTCCTTAAATGACGGGTGAGGTTTTGTTTGGTTTTAGTTTTGTGTGTGTGTGTGTGACACTGTATCTTTCTCATCTCATTTTTAACACATATGTCTTACAAGTATCAAGATTGGCTCAGTATAGTATGTGGTTGAATAACTGATCAAGGTAGAAAGTCAAGTAAAACTTGCATTTGTTGATAAGTACATCAGACGTTTCCTTGAGTGCCGCCGAAACGATGCAGTTCAACAAATATAAGAGCAGTGCTGTCAGGTCTCATTTGCCGGAAGTGCTTTTGCTTCAGGTAGCTGTCCGAGGAGGTCTCATGTTCTAGGTTTTGTGTCCTGGTCTAAGGATGTGGGAAAACAGTTTGTTTCTGCAGACTTGCAGTGAATATGCAAACTGTACCCTGTTGAACTGTGAGAACAAAGAAGATTCGTAGTTGTCATTAACTTGCCTGATTGGCTTTTCTCTTTTTCTTTCTTAGAGTTCCTTCTGCTCCTGAGAGGAGACTTCACCTGGGGCCATGATGCCACTTTCCTGTCACCTGTATGCTGCTTATTTCGGCTAACATTCCGGGAGCCCTGGTCTGGGGAGGAATCAAGCTAACTGTTGGCATGAGGCCCCTGCCTTGTTGGAGTTGAGAGCGCACTGCCATGGCTTCTCTGGATGACCCGGGGGACGTGAGGGAGGGCTTCCTCTGCCCCCTGTGCTTGAAGGACTTGCAGTCTTTCTATCAGTTGCAGTCACATTATGAGGAGGAGCATTCAGGGGAAGACCGTGATGTCAGAGGGCAGATTAAAAGTAAGAGCGAGGTCCTGGCTTACCCCATTCTGTGACTGAGGGCTTTGATCCGTGGGATGGTGTTTTGGAGCTCCCTAGTGGCACCAGGATATGATGGTGATAAAAGTAGCCAGCGGCTATCTTGCATTGTCCTTGTGCTGGCCAGTGTTCAGAGTCTCCTTGTACATTTCTTTGAACATTCCCCCTGGCTGTGTGACCGTGAGCACCATTTTGCTGATAAGGGTATCCGACACAGAGATGAGATAACTGGCCTAAAGGCACAGTGTGAAGCAGAGCCTGGCTTTGAATGGAATAGCTGCAGTCACTGTGATCTGCCAGATTGTTTGAGTTTTCTGACCCCTTGCTGTGAGGGTTTGGACAGGAATGCCTTTCATCTGCTGTGATTTGTCCCTCACAAATTTGAGGCTGCCCATCATCTTTCCTTTCTCTACTGGACTTTGGCCTCTCCAGCACAGAAAAGGAAGGTCATAGTTGAAAAGCAAAACAAACAAACAAACAAACAAAAACCCCAAACAACCCAAAAAGTTAAAACCTTCAAAGTTGAACTTCTAAGAGTTCGGATTCTGGGGAGTTACAGAAAGAACTTTTCAGAGGTGATTTTAACTATGTATAATGTGTTTCCTGGATTTCAAGTTCTGGTTTCCAAAGGAGTTGCTGCTCCTCCAAACCTGCTTTTCTAGTTACTAAGCTAACTTGCTTCTCATACCTGACAGACTTTCAGAAAGCCATGAGGATGTACAGAGACTGGATGCTGTGTCCATAATCTTTACTGGGTAGAGAGAAAGGAGCGATGCTGGGTGTATTTCCAAGTGAGGTCTGGCTTCCAAACATATGAATGGTGTGCACCTTAGAATCAAGTATCTGTCCCTGGAGTTCCACTCTGTGTCTCAGTTCTCAGTTCAGGGGAAAAAAGAGAGTTGATTAAAAACATTAACAGTTATCATTTACCCACAAATGTGTAAGAGAGGCAGACATTTTCAGGGTCTTGAGAGCCATGATGATCAAGGTGCCTCCTGGCTGCAGAGGTTGGAACAGAGCCGTCACTCGTAGGAGGAATAAAAACAGCCCCGCGCTTTATAGTTTTTACAGTTTCTATCCAATACCTGTCATTTCAACAAGCCTGAAGGAAGATGGCCAGTCTCATTTGTAGATAATTCGTGAGGCTCAGAGCTTTTCCGTAACTTATCTAAGGTCACATGTGACTGACAGGGCTCGGCCTGGGACCCAAATCCTCTGTCCCTGTATGTCCACTGCCAGTCTTTCCACAGGGAATTACTGATGAGGAAAGGCCCGGTGTTCTGGTCACAGGATGCATTGCAGCTTCCAGGAGAAAAAAACAAACAAAAATCCAAAACTGATTATAAAAGTTCTTTGGGCAGTGGAAGGGGTTCCCTGGTTCTAGCAAGCTGAGTCACGTGCCATGCCATTCCTGAGACTTGTCATGCTAGTCCCCCAGTTGTGCAGGTAGAGAAGACCCTCAGGTGCCTCCCATGACTCTGTTTGAAGAGGTAAGATGTTTGAGATTATTTAAAGAGTAATACATATGGAAATCTATTCAGGGAATACAACATGGAGTGGAAATTTTGTTCTTTGTGAAAAACTTGAGGCTCCTCTTGAGGGCCTAAGGATGTAGCTCAGTACATGCCTGAGGCCCTGGATCTGATCCTGCACCACAAAAACAAACAGAAAGGCCTCCCGTTTGTTCCCTCCTGAAAAGAACTAAGAAATTGAATTAACCAATCCTTTAGGACTAATGGTCATTTGTTTAGTTAGGAAGGAATTCTTATGTCAGAATTTCCTGGTTTCAGAATCCGTAAAGTAAAGGAATTTCCTTGTTTTTGTTTTGTCTTTTTGTCTTTTTTTTTTTTTAATGTCTCAAACTCGTGGTGGCCTCAAACTTGTGGTGATCTTCCTGCTTCACCTTCCCAAGTGCTGGGATTACAGGCATGCACCACCATGTCCAGCTAGGAAAGTAAAGTTTTATTAAAGTTTGACATCAACGATTTTTTTGGAAAATCCTTTCAAAATGAGTTCATATGTCCTTTTGTTATTTTGCTCTTTTGAAATTTTAGGCATTTATATTTTTAGACAGCTAAGAAGTTAAAAATCGAAAGAGTAGTTTGGCGTCAGGTTTATGAGGCAGTTTTAAAAAGAAAGATAAACGAATCATGCCTGAAAAAAGTAGGCTGTGGGTTGGAGTGCTGGCCTGGGTTCAGCTTCTTTTATAGCAGGGATAAGAGAAGTGGGTTGAAAACCAGCTGTAGTTCTGCTTTGTGTTTTTAAGATTGCCTGGTTGGTTCCTTGTGGCCACCTCTGGAAGGGTTGCACCACTTGGCAGGGTGTGGCACTATTTCAGTCTCGTGATGTGGTTGCCTGGCATAGACGCCCCTGTGACTCGCCCCATCCAGTCATGTTTACAGAAACGAAGCCCTGTTTGCTATCTCCAGTTTCCTGTCTGCTGGACCTTTTGTTCATGAGGCAGTTTCCTTTTACTGTTGCTCGAGAAGACATCTCTTCCGCATTGTGAAGGACATCCTTTAGCTGTGGCGTTTTTCCTATCGGAAGAACCCTTTTCTGACTGACATAATGTCACAGAGTGACTGCTGGGCGACTGAGTAACTGACATCTCTCCCCTCCTGTGCCTGGCTGCTGTCCGAGTCTGTATCAATCTGACTCTAAAGCCCTGGGGCATTTCTGACCTTACTGAAGGGACAGAAGTCACAAGAATTCTGTGAAGTGTACTGTTCTGTTAAATGTCAGGTAGTGACAGTGTTTCATAGCAAATCCGAGGTTTTCTATGGCAGACAGGCAGCAGACACCTGGGATTTAAGGCCACTGGGGAGAGGGGAGCTTGGAATTGGAACCTGAAATACTTTTTCCCTGCCACTGACCTGCTGTTGAGGTCAGTGGGGCTGGTGGGTCCCCCATTCTGTAGAGGTGCGGGGCTGAACCGGGCTGGCTAGGGCGAGCTGGGCCTGGTTTCACACGGATGAAGCATCTGCTTCCAGCCCTGCTGTCCTGAGCTCTGTGATCTGGGGGAAGCAAGTTTCCCCAACTCCAGTGTCATCTCTTTTGTAAGAGGGCTGTCACCACCTCAGACACTTGAGTGTGAACTGGCATCACATATTCGGGTGCGTCATGCCTAGTGCATCCAGAGACTCTACTCAGAAAATGTTCATTTTCTCTTTTTTTTCCCCACTAGCATTAAGAATCAAACGCAGAGCCTTCCCACTGAGCTCTATTTCCACTCCTTTTAAAAATTGTTTATTTCAAGACAGGGTCTTGCAAGTCACTAAGTTGCCCAACCTGGGCTGTAACTTGTGATTTTCTTGCCTCAGCCTGCCATAGTTTTCTCTTTTTACCAAGGTTTTGTGATGTATGTTGTGTTGGGGGTTCGGTCTGTTCCTTGCAGCTTTCTGTAAATATTCTCATGTATTCAAGAAGTAGCTAGGTAGAGGTAGAAGAGAAGGGTTCTATGTATGGCTATGGTCATGGGATGTTGGTTTGACAGCATCCCATCCTGAGGTAAATGAGAACTGTTTACTGATGAATTTCATACTGTAGAGGTGGCCCTTTTAGGGACAGAACCTGGGGCCTTACACAAGCAAGGCAAGTGGCCTACCACTGAGCTGCATCCCAGCCCATAACCTGATTTGTGGGAAGACCACAGGGGCTCAGGAGTGGGGCGCTTGCCAAGCATGCACCAGCCCTGGATTTACTCGAAGCACAATAAGGAAACAGAAGTGAGCAAGCACAACCGCTTTGTTTCATTAGGATATTGTTTATACAGAAGTTTCTAAGTGTACAGTAGGTTTTGAAAACGTGAATAGCCACCAGCCGGCTTCAGACATAGAAAAATGCTTTCCTGGTTCCCTCATTGAATTTGGTTTTAACCACTCTGTTCAATTGGAGTCTTCAGTTGGGTGATGAGCAGTACTTTAGCTTGTGCGTACATAGCACAGAGCCCTGCTTCTTGCTATTACTGACCATTGCTCTGTGCTACTTACTATCCGGTGTTCATGTGCTTGCTGCTGCATTTTATTTGGGATCCAGCTATTTCTTGTGCCCTTTTTTTATATTGGGAATTGAACATCAGAGGTCCTTTGCATGGAGCTGCATCCCTGGCCCTTAAAAAAATTTTTTTTTCTTTTTTGAGACAGGATCTCACTAAGGCGGTAAATTGCCCAGGTTGGGCTTGAACTTGCAATCCTTTAGCCTCAGCCTCCTGGAATGCTGGGATTATGGGCTGACACACAGCTTTTTATGCATTTTAACAAGGATAATTTCTTCATCAGCTTTATCTTTTGATGTTTCCCTTGACCTTTCACTGGGTGCTCTTGATGGTTCACTTGTGTTCTTTGTTCTGTTTTTCAAGGTTTTGTCCAAAAGGCTAAGAAAGCAAAGAACAAGTTGCTGAGACGGGAGGGGGATGACCGAGCAGAGCCAGGGCCCCCAGGATACGAGTCCTTCAGCAATGGAGGGGTCGACCCTTACATGTGGGAGCCTCAGGAACTGGGTAAGAAACTCTTCGTTGATGTGAGCATGCGCTGTGGATATAGGAACCAAACACCTGATGGTGTTTTCAGATTTGGTAACTAAGGGCTGAGTTTCTCATGGCTCTCACACCCTGTAGGAGAAGAGTGGTGCCTCTTGTGTTTGGCCCTGTATTAACGTGTTCCATGTTGAGTGCATTGCATCATCCTGCACCAGGGGACCTGCCCATGCCATGCAACCTTGAGCTGTAGAAGTGGGTATGACTCTGGCTTCCTGCGGCCACCCTGGCACCTGGGCATGCCCCCAGGGTGGTCTCACATCACTCATAACTGCATTGAGAGGCCCGGGTGTGGGCAGCCTACTTCCTGTGGTACCATCTGCTGGCTTTCAAAGGGATCGTCCTGTCCAGTGCGGATCATTGTAAAATGGCTTGTGAAGATCCTTAGCCTGTGGTACACCAGCACCTTGAAACTTGTGCTTTAAGTGACAAATAATGTGTACATGAATTATATCTCAATGAAGATCATGCCACATACTATGTTGAGCTCTCTAGTCTTACCTGACCTTTAACTGCTAGATGACATTAGTCATTAGTAGGGCGGCTTGTGGGTGGTAAGCATGCACTCTGCACTGAATTACATCTGCAGTGCAGTTGGATATTTTCTGTCTTTGAGTATATCAATAAAAGTTCTTTCACAGTTCTCCCTCCTGCCCTGTCTCTCTTTCCGCCCCCTTTTCTCTCCCTCCCCCGTCCCTCTTTGTTTCCCTCTCTGTGTCTCTCTCTGTCTCTGTCTCTCTCTCTGTCTCCCTCTCTCTCTCTCTGTCTCTCTCTCTCTCTCTGATACAGATTTTTTTTTTGTCTCTGTTTGTTTTTTGAGATGGTCTTGCTGTATAGTCCAGGATGGCCTTGAACTCACAGCGACCCTCCTGCCTCAGCCTCTTGAGTGCTGGTATTAAGCAGTGTGGGCTACCACGCCCAGTAATATTTTTAATTCATCTTTTTTGGTGTGATACTGGATTGAACACAGCACTTTCACATTGAGCCACACCCCTAGCCCTCTTTTATTTTTTAATTTTGAGACAGGCTCTTGCTGAGTTGTCCAGGTGGGTTTGAAACTTGTGATCCTTCTATCTCAGCCTCCCAGTGTGCTGGAATCACCTTTGTGCACCTCCATGCCCAGCTCGCGATCACGCTCTTGTTCACCTTTCACAAATTCCTTGTGAGGTGCAATGCTGGTGATGCTCGTTTCCACTCAGAGATGAGGGCACTGAGGCTCAGAGAGAGCGAGGGATACTTACCGGGCCATCTACTCTGTCCATGTGTTACCACTCAAGAATGCAGGAGGTCCTAGAGCGCTGCTGTCAGTCCAATAGGCACTAGCCGTCTGTGCTGTTCACGTGTAACTAGGTTACACAGAAATAAAATCCAGCCTTTTCCTCAGCTGCATCCTAGCTACGTTCCATGTGTTCAGTACCCCGATGCCCAGGGCCCACTGTGTTAGAGGGGAAACATTTCACCATCACGGGAGGCAGTAGCTTTAAAAATACTGCTGCGTGTAACTAAGTCACACATGAAAGACCCTTAGGAACATGAGGGAGAAATTTCAGACACGTGGACTGTTACTGGCCTTGTCGTAATTGATTTCATGATTGGCACCAGGGTGGTTTTCTAATTAACTTGTCTGTTTGAACACTGAAGCAAATTACAATTGAAGTTAATATTTATAATCACACCTAATAATTCTGAACTAAAACTTAACTAGCTGTTATGGTTAGGGAAGAAAAGACAGGGATGGTTAAGAAATAGCATTTAGAGATGTTGGTCGAAGGATACAAAATTTCAGACAAGAGGGTAAGTTTAAGAGATCTGTGGCACAGAATGGTGACTCAAGTTAGGAAAACGTAGTATATTCCTCAGCCTCACTAAAAGAGTAGATTCTGAAGTGTTCTCACCACAGTGAATGAGGTAAGATGTATATTGATTAGCTTGGTTTAGCCATTCCATGATGCATGCATATTTTAAAAGATGTGCACAATAAATACATGCAACGTATAGTTGTCTGTTAGCAATTTTTTCGGTTAACATTTTAAAAAGTGTAGTAAGTGATGAATACCAGCAGTGACATGGAATGCATGACTGGCTGGTTACTGGGAGGAGGATGAACACTGGGTGCTGGCAGGTTGGAGGGCAGCGCTGGTTTCCTGGAAGAGGTGGGATTGAACAAGGCTGCTTCAGGTCCACTTAGGTGACAAGTGACGTGGTTGCATTTATTTGGGGACCTTTGTGCAAGTCTTGGCTGCCCAATTGAGGAAATGTCAGCTCAGCTGGATGCCCCACAAACGTCTGTGAGCCTTAGCTTTTGTGGGCATTTCGAGATGGGTTGTTTTTATTATGATTAAAAGCTGTAGCCAGGTGTGGTAGTGCACACCTGTAATCCCAGCACTCAGGAGGCTGAGGCAGGAGGATTGCTATAAGTTCGAGGCCAGCCTGGACTACATAGTGAAACCGTGTCTGCAAAAAAAACAAAAACACAGCAAAAAAAGCTTTGTTGTACCAACTTTAAAAAAGTATGGAAAAATGGGAGAATAAAAAGCCGATCCATAATGTTACTAGGCTTCTTATTTAACAGATAGTCATGTACCTGTCGGTGTTTGAAGGACTTTATTTAGCCCGCACAACAGCCCTGTGAAGTAGAAAGCATAGTTGTGCCATCTCAGGGTGAGTTCCTGAGGTCACACAAAGGCTGAATGACTTGTCTGAGGTCACAGTGCCTGTGGAGCGGCAGCTTGGGGTGGGGGGCTGGGGGGTGCAGGCTGCCGCAGAACCCACGTCTCATCTGCTCTGCCTGAAGCCTCCACCGGCCACAGTGAACAAGTCAGCAGACCCCTGCATTTCTCAGCAGGACACATGTCCTCAGAGTTTTGCTTCTGAAGTCATTGAAAATCAGCTGTAAGGTCGAGAGGCTCTGGCAGTCAGGAAAGTGACAAGTCACCTGTCCCCTGCCTTCCTTCCTTTTAGGGACTGTGAGAAGCCATCTTTCTGACTTCAAAAAACACCGTGCTGCCAGAATTGACCACTACGTTGTTGAAGTCAATAAATTAATAATCAGGTTAGAGAAGGTAAATTTTCTTGTTAAAAACATTTTTTTTCTGCAAGTATACATTTTCTGGGGGAACGCCTCCATGTTTTATAGCTTATGTTGCACATCTGACACTGGCAGAGGTGCAAAGGATGTGGAGGACGGGCATAGCCTGGGCTGGCTTTCCTGGGGCATTGGCCAGGTGTCTTGGTTATGTTTCTCTCGTTGCTGAGACGCAATACCTGACGCCCAGAATTAAGGCAGGAAAGGTTTATTTAGCTTTACAGTTTGTGGAAGTTAGCTGGCTCCAAGGCAGAGTGGCACATGGCAGAGGGCAACAGTTCATGGCTGTGGAAGACAGCAAAAACAGCAAGAGCAAGCAGCCTCTTTCTCTGCCTTACATTGTATGCAAACTGCCCGCCCCGGGTCAGGTCCAGTACTCACACCCATAATCCCAGCATTGGACCATGGATCAGTCACAAACTCTAGGAGCCCGCCACATGACTACATGAGGCCGTGGGGAGCATCCAGACACAAACCATAACACCAGGGTGTCACAACCACCCCAGGCCTTTTCTTCCACGCTGAAGGCCCCTGGCTCCTGGGAAACCTTTGCCTTTTGGGGTGTCCTGGGCAGGGTCACTCTGAGGTGTAATATGTGGTGTTATTTGATAGGGAATAGAAAAGTGGTGGCTAGGTCGGTGCTGTGCCCTCAGCCAGGGCTGGTGTGCATCGTGGGGACCTGTGATTGGCCCTCGTGTCCTGCAGTGAGTGCTGTGCTTTTCCCTGGAGGTTGATGCTAAGTACAGTCTGGATTGTGTGGTGGGTGTGGCAGAGCCATACAGCTCTTCTTGTGAACTTTGTAGGCAGAAGCGTGCAATGTTGGGGAATGAACCCAGGGCCGCTGCACTGAGCTCCTCCCCAGATCTTGCTTTGTTTTGAGACAGAATTTCACTTAAGTTGCTGAGTTGTCCAGGCTGGGCTCATATTTGCAGTCCTCCTGTCTCAGCCTCCCAGAGTGCTGGGATTGCAAGTGTGCCCCACTGCACCAAGCTCATGGCTGGTGTTGTGTAGGAGCAGTGAAAGAAGAGTTGCCCACTGTTTTCGTACCGCCCCGTCCTCCGCTGCCTGTTTGTTGCTGACATGGGTGATGAAGGGCAAGAGCACCCATCACCATGGGTGATGACCGGGGCTCAGAGGAGAGAGGAGATACGAGGCTTCGGGGCTGGACTGGAGACTGGGCTGGAGAAGTGTAGACATGCAGAGGCTGCTTGTGGTGTGAGCAGTGAAGCATGGCTGGGGTGTCCGTGGCTAACCCACCTGGCCCTCTTTTCTCCCACCAGCTCACTGCATTTGACAGAAGCAACACGGAGTCTGCAAAGATTCGAGGTAACTAGAGAACTCTGTTCATGTTCTTTCTGTTCCTTCTGTTTCCCTGACCAGATCTTCCTAAATGGTGTGTGTGTGTGCTGTTTTATTTTGTCCTTCCCAAAGCGATCGAAAAGTCTGTGGTGCCTTGGGTCAACGACCAAGACGTCCCTTTCTGTCCTGACTGTGGGAGCAAATTCAGCATCCGTAACCGCCGCCACCATTGCCGCCTCTGCGGCTCAATCATGTGCAAGAGGTGCATGGAGCTCATCAGCCTGCCCTTGGCAAGTAGGTGACGGGAACCTCATCCCCTGCCGGGACATGCTTATTTACCAGTAGCCACTGGCACCACAGGGCCCTGGAGTGGATGCCAGGGGGGTCCCCATGAAGCCCACATGGCCCAGAGATGGGTAAGGCAGGGACAGGGTGCAGGCTCGGGTCTCTGCCTTTGCTCCTTACTCTTGTTTAACAACCTCTTAAAAATGTCAAAACCACACTTAGTTTGAGCCCTGTACAGAATGGGGCAGCCAGACCTGGATCTCAGGCTGTTGTTCCCCTACCTTTGTCTATAAGTTATCACCCAGTGCTTTGAGGAGCATGGTGCCTACAGGCCCGTGGACTGCCAGATAAATAGCTGCTTGGTTGGAAGGTGGGTCCGGACCCAGGAGGGGCCAAGCAGCTGTCAGTTCTGCCTAGAAGTGGCGGTAGCGGGTGTTGAGTTGGGAAGAGGACCTCAAAGTCCCTTCCTCTGGGGTGCAAGTCACCGACAGTGTCCTTGTGCAGGAGATGCTGAGGGTGCTAGAGGCTCGGGGTGGGAGATGACATTTGAGAAGCCCTGGGCTCTACACATCTCAGGGAAAGGGTGTGGGCCCCAAGGAGCACGGCTGCAGACAGCGTTGAGGACAGGACAGGTGTGAGGGTGGCCTGCCTTCAAGGTGGTCAGAGGCTGATTCCAGACAGCGTCTCTTGGCATCTGGGACACTTGGGTGGCACTCCTGGTGTCTGGGCAGCATAAGGGCTGAGGCAGGCCATCCTTGATTTACCTTGATTTCCTCCTGGCTCACCTGGGACTGCTTAAGCCACATTTTCTGGACACTTTGCGTTTTTCCTTGGGGACTGTTCGCTGACATTTCTTGGGTTGCTGCCTGGGGAAGCCTTGCTGGCTGTGTTTAGGGTGCAGATGAAAGTGTCATCTGCACCCTAAACAAAGAGCTGCCGCTGTCTGGGGTTGCTTCTGTCACACTGGGAGAGAAGGGGAGACGGTTTGCCCACAGGATGTTCATCTTGAGCTGCCCTGTGGAAGGCAGGAACTGGGTGGCCAGGCCAGGGAAGGCTGTGGATAGGCGGAGGGCCGTCCTGGGGTGCCCTCGGATCTCACTGCGTGAGGGAGCCTGGGAAGGCGGAGCCTGGACTAGGTACCTGCTCCTGGTCCCACCCTGGGACCCATGTGTGGAAAGGGCGGTGGAGAGCTGGGTGCCCTCTGTGTTTGCAGACAAGCTCACCAGTGCCAGCAGGGATGCCCTGAGCACCCACACCAGCCCCAGCCAGTCTCCTGGCAGCGTGCATGGCTCGCGCCGTGGCAGCATCGGCAGTGTGAGCAGCGTGAGCTCTGTGCTGGATGAGAAGGAGGACGAGCGCATCCGCTGCTGTGGGCACTGCAAGGACACACTGCTGCGCAAGGAGCAGCAGATGGATGAACGGGAGCACACGCCCGCCATCACCAAGCTGTACGAGGTGACCGTGCCAGCCCGTCTGCAGAGTTCTGGGGTTCCCTTGGGTTGCATTCATTCCTGCTGTAGGCCCTGGAGAGTTGCAGAGCTGCCCTGGAGGGTGGAACCAGCCCCCTTTCACCTCTCCTCACCCCCTGGAGAGCAGCAAGGCAGGGGAAGAAGTGTTCAGTTGGCCAGGCAGGAGCTGGAGGCTCAGGGATAGTGGGTTGGAGAATCCTGGGAGACTTGCCTGGTGGAGAGAGCTCTGCAAAGTGTTGCACGTTGCCTGCCGTGGGGCAGGAGTGCTTGCTTCTCTGCCAGTCTGGGCACCTCCGCTCCCCAATCCCAGAGCCCCATAGCAAAGGCACATGTGAGAGACAGCACCTCAGGAAAAGTTGGGGGTAATGAGACAGCTTAGGCTCCTGTGGCCAGGGGAGACCTTCAGGCTAGGGACCAGCCAGAGGGATGCATCGGAGAGGGGACACCAGAGTAGGAGACGGTTGGGCAGAGCAGCAGTGTGCTTGAGTCACAGCTGTTTCCGGAACCCATGTAGCTACTGGTGTGGCACAAATCAGAGCCAGGACTGAGCGTAGCCACCCTTCACCATCTGTGGAGTCCGTGACTTTCCTGGTTCCCTTGTTCTGAAGAGGGTAGTGACACTGTGCCCTGTTGTGCTGTTGCCTGGCATCACTAGGTCCTTCTGTCACGGTAGACTCACTGCCTGCCAGGGCGCCAGCAAGCCTGCTGCTCTCAGGATGTCTGGTTGGCTCCATTCTAGTCTGCTTGGAACGTAAGTTAGGAAACTGATACCGTAAGGAAGAGACCCCAGTTGTGAAAAGGGAGCACTTTTCTCACATCTCTGTGGGTGCGGCCTGGTCCTGGTGGGCGTTTGTGTCCTGAGAGTGGCACTCACCTCTCCTCTGTTCTCAGAAATTGCGGCTCTGCATGGAGAAGGTGGACCAGAAAGCTCCGGAATACACTCGCATGGCGGCGTCCTTGAAGTAAGGTTCTTCACGGTGTCCCAGGGGCGCTGCCTCCCGTTGCTCAGGCATATGCCTAGTCCAGATGCAAACCTTGCTTTGCTTTCCCTCTTTTCTTTTTTTTCTTTCCTTTTCCTTCCTCCTTTCTTTCTTCTGTCTCTTTCTCCTTCCTCCCTCTCTTGCTCTCCCTCCCTTTCCTCTCCCCCACTGTGAAATCCGCCCTCTTACAGTGTGCGGTGGAGCCATTTTTACTGTATTCACAGAGTTGTACAGCATTGCCACCGCCTAAATTCCACACCTCTCCTTGTTCTCGTACAAACCTCATCCCTGCCCCCTGGCACCCTCTAATGTGCTTTCTGTTTCGGTGGCACAGCGATTTTTGACTTCTTGTGTCAGCGGTGTCATAAACGTGACCTTCCGTGTCCGACTTGCCACACAGTGCAGTGCTTTTTGGGGTTCATTCGTGTAGCTGCGTGTGCACCTTTCCTTCCTTTTGTATGAGTGCCCTGTGCACGGTACTATGTTCATTTATCCATTCATCAATTAATGAACATTTGTGGGTTTTTTTGGTTTTTGTCTTTTTGAGACAGGGTTTCACTCGGCAGTTCAGGCTGACCTCAAACTCATTTTGTAGCCCAGGCTGACTTTGAACTTGCAGCAATGCTCTTGCCTCAGCCTCCCAAGTGCAGGGATTACAGGCATGCGCCACCACACCTGGCATTTGGGTTTTTTTAACTACTATGGGTGATGTGCATTTAACATTCATGTCCGGGTTGTCATGCAGACACACTTCCACTTCTCTTGGGTGTTTACCTGTGAGTACTGGGTTTTGTGGTACCTGTTTAGGGTGGGAAGTGGCCATATCCTTTCAGAAGGACTGTATTGGAGCTGGGGATATAGCTCAGTGGTGCAGCGCCTGCCTGGCAGAAGGACTGCACCACACTGCATCCCACAGCAGAGTGCCGGTCACATGTTCTCTGCGCACTCAGCCGTACAGTTTTAATGGAGCAGCCTTGCGCCTGCGGGTTGCTGCTGGCGATGGCTTTGGGGTAGCAGCAGCAGAGCTGAGGGTCGCGGCCACGGGTGCTTTACTCGCTGGACTGTGTGAGCACATGGCTCCTGCAGGCTGAGCATGAGCTGGAGCAGGGGCTGAGGCTGGGTCAGTCCTAGTCTTGCCCAGCCTGCAGGATGCAGCACTGGCGCCATGGTTCTGTTTGAGGTCTCTGCCTTTGTCTTTCTCCATGCTGCCTGCCTGCCATGTGGAGGGGGCCTTCAGGGCATGGGCCATGTTAGAGTAGAGCCAGGCTTTACTCCAGCATTTGGTGTGGCAGTTTTTTAGGGTTTCTCAGGGGTGTGAGCTTGACTTTCCTTCACAGCTTAATATGTCCATCGTGTGGCTCTCACATATGAAGAAAATGAATTTGAAGCTGGGCATGGTGGTGCAGGCTTGTAGTTTCAGCTGTTCAGGAGGCTGAGTCAGGAGAATCACTTAAACCAGCCTGGCAACATAGTGAGACCCTGTCTCAAAAAAAAAAATGAAATGAACTTTGTTAGAAGCACAGTCCTCTTTCCTGTCTTCTGAGTCTGTAAATGTCTGCTGCATGGAATGTAAGTGCCTAAGCTCGGGTGGTTTGTTTCAAAAGTACCTCCTCCCTTGCATTCTGCGTTCCTGTGGAACTTGGGCTCTTCTCTCTGTGTTGGGCCAGGCCCTATCCCTACCTGCCCACAGGAGAGGGTGCTCCTGGTCTTGGGCCCTGGGTTTTATGTTCCCACTGGACCTGTTCCTGCCCACGGCTCTGGCTTCCCAGCCCTCCCTCGCTGGCGGGGCAGCCAGCTCCTGCTGGTTGGTCCTGGACATGCTCTGCCAGGTGCTGCACTAGGTGTGGGACTGTGACAGGTACCAGGGACAGCAGTGCTGCTCTCAGGAGCATGTGATGGATAAGATAACTTTGGATGTGGTAGTGCTGTGAGGGATAAAGTTGGCTGATGTGATTGAGACCAGAGGAAGTGATTTCAGATTTGGGCCAAGCTTGCTATTTTCCAGACTTACAGATAGCAAGAAAAAGCCTTTCCCCCAGCTGAGGCGGGAAGATCATTGAGCCCAAGGTCCCAGGCCAACTTGGGCAACATGGTGTTACCCCATCTCAAACAAACAAATAAGCAAAGCCCGTGTTCCTGCTTCCGGCCTTTTCTCTTTGTACTAATGTGTGCCGAGAGATTTGGCACCTTGGATTCTGGGTCACATTGGTATTGATTTAGCTGGAGTTGTTAGTTGCCCAGAGCCCTGGGACCTAGTCCCTGGGCTGCACTCAATGTAAGAAGTCACAGAATAGGGTGACAGGCCTGAAGGAGCAGTGGCAATATCACCCATGACTTTTACTGCCACTCTGAGGCCCTGCTTTTGTCGCATGGGGCATAGTCCTTAGGAAACCTGTGAGCTGGGGCTGTGGCCCAGGCATGGGAAGTGTTCTTGGTCATCCTCCTCCTTCAGTATTGGAGTGAAAAGTCAGGGGGCTTTATATCCTGATGCTGCCTGACTGACTTACTAAGTTACCACTTGCTACACCTCACCAGACACTGTGAGGTTGCTTAGGGACAGGATCTAGTGGAGTCTGCAGCCATGGCTGGATCTGATCCTCAGGCCTGGCCCAAGCTGTCCCTGTGGCCTGCATGACAGCTTCCAGGTGAGGCATGCCTTCTGGTGAGTGTGTACTGCATCACGAGGGGAGTGATCAAAGGATACAGTGAATGTTTGTGAAAAAATTACAGTAAAAGACATTGCCACAAATCCCCCAGAAGTCCTCTACCCCCAACTCCCACCCCACTTTGAGCACACTCATCCCATCATTCTTTTTTTTTTTTCTTTTCTTGGTACCGGGAATCAAACTCATGACCTCACGCTTGCCAGGCAGGCACTTATGCCGCTAAGCTAAATCCCCAGCCCTCATCCCATCATTCTTGCCACTGTCTGCAGCAGCTCTGGAGTCCTCTTTCCTGAGTGTCTTTATGAGCTATAATCAAAAATACATGTGAGTGCTGCTGCCAGGTGCCATTCAACAGAAAGGCAGCCTTATAAAAACATGACACCATGCCCTCATTCACCAGATCTTGTGTGATTTCTGGCTCTTCTCCAAAGTCAGAATGACCTTGAAAGAAACATTTTGAATCGATTCAGGACACTGAGGCAGCCAGGACAACACAGCTGAAGACACAACAGAGGACTCTAGAGCAGCTTCCAAAAGTGGCCACGAATGATGGGATAAGTGTGTTTGAATTGGGGAGGTGGCTGAGGGCATTCATGGCAATATGTCTGTTACAGTTTATAGTTAGATGTCCCCCTAAAACCTCACGCACTTTCAGGTAGGGCTTTGGGAGGTGATTGGATTCTGGGTGTGAGATACTTCTCAGTGGATTGGTCCCCTGATGAATTTATGGCTGAATGTGATGTTGTGAGGTGAAGCCTGATTGAAGGAGGTGGGTTGCTGCGGGTGTGGCCTGGCAGGGTCTGTCTCCCTCCTCCTCTTGATCACTGTCTGCTTCCTGCTTCCCTGCCAGGAACTATTTTTCCTCTGCCTTGCACCCCTGCCCTGGAGCCAGCCGACTGTGGACTGAAGCCTTTATAAACTGTGAGCCAGAACAGACCTCTGCTCCTTGGAGTTGTGCATTGTGTCTCAGTGACAAGAAAGTAATGAAGACAGTGTGTTTCACTGTAATATGCTTTTTAAAAAATGTAAATATGGTCTGTAATTTTCCATCACAGCTCCTGAGACCTGAAATGCCCCTTTCCAAGCACTAACCATCCTGGTACAGCCTCATGCCTTGAGTGTCCTGTGCAGCTCTCAGTCAGCACAACCTGATGTGGCCCTGTCCTGTGCTTTCTCTGCAGTGCTGGGGAGACCACCTACAGCCTGGAGCAGGCTGGCGACCTCCGCCTGGAGGTGCAGAAAGTATACGAACTCATAGACGCCCTGAGGTGAGGCTTGGGATGATGCCAGGGAGGACTCTTCATGGGCCTGGGGCCTTGGGCTGGGGCCAGGTGTGACCCTGTAACTCTGTGCTAGTGACCTTGAGGTCACTGAGGCCTTGCACTGCAGGTGAGGAAACCAGCACAGCCACTGCCGGCTCGCTGTGCACAGCTGTGCCTGCTGCTCGGGTCACGGCTGCTTTCAAACCGTGGCCTGGCGGTTGGGGTTAAATCAGCCCTTGGCAGCGTAGGAGGTGCAGGAACTTAGGGACAGTTGCAGTGAGGGCCATTATTTGTCCAGACACCCAAGACCTGCTGTGTGATTTGCAAAGCCTGGTGCACACTGAAAATTCTACTTCCTATGTCAACAGTATCATCAGTGTTAAGAAGGTAGCAGCAGGGTATTCAACATGCATGAGTCCCTTGAAGTACTGGGTCCTGTGCAGTTACACAGGTTGCTCACTGGTGAAACCAGGTCTGCCTGTGTGGTGAGCCCGTTAGCGACTGAGCATCACACACTCTGCTATGTTATCTGCCATGGGTCTACTCAGGGTAGGGGCTAGGCTCTGCCTTCCAGGAGACAGTGGAGTCACCCGTCTTCACCTGTCTTGGCATGAACGCCTGCAGCTCTGGAGACCTCTCGTCTTGTTTCTGATGTGTCTGTTCTGATCCAGTAAGAAGATCTTAACCCTGGGCTTGAACCAGGACCCCCCACCGCACCCCAACACGCTGAGGCTGCAGAGGATGATCCGGTACTCGGCCACACTCTTCGTGCAGGTGAGGCCGTGGGGTGGTGGGAGCTCGCCTGGGTGCCCTGGTTCTTCTCTTGGGCAGGTCCCCGCTGTGGCCTGTTTTCTCTTCTGTACCAGTTATTCTTTAAGAGCAGCAGTATGTCGTAACTGCCACATTTTGAAAGAGAAGAATGTGGGTTTCTGAGAAAGGAAGACTTCTAGTCATGGCTCGTTCGGGTGTTTTTCTGTTTACATTTTTGCATGCGGTACTTAGGGCTCACGCACATTGCCAGTCTGCTTCCTTTCTCCCCTGAGCTCCACGTCGGCAGTCCCTGCAGTGCTGCCATGGACAGGCTGACCCCATATGACCTTGGCCCTCAGCTGAGGGAGGGGGATGGGAGCTCTGTAGCTAGAAGTGATAGATGGCAGGGTAAGGAGCCTCTTCCTGGGCCTCTGGATGATGATTTGGGGCACCTGTACCCCAGGGTTGGACCCAGTCATTTTTCTGCCCTGCTCCCGTGAGTGCTGCAGCAGCCGCCTTCAGCCTCCTTGCTAAGGTCCAGTGGGGATGTGGGGGCGGTGTCTCCACACGGCATTTCTTTTTTTCTTTTTTTTTTTTTTTCCCGGTACTGGGAATCGAACTCATGACCTCGCGCTTGCCAGGCAGGCGCTGTGCTACTGAGCTAAGTCCCCAGCCCTCCACACGGCATTTCTGAGAACGGGGCCTTCGTCCTGTTTGCTGAGGGCCCACTGGGCACCAAGCTGGGTCCTGGGTCTGGGGTTCACACTTCCTGTTCTTAGCAGCCCAGCTTCTAAAGTGGGCAGGCGATGCCCAGCTGAGGAGCTGGTTTGTGAGTGCACAGCTCCTTGGAGACTGGGCGGCGGGAGTGGCTGGTGGTAGGTGTCAGGTGCCTGATACGACCCTTTCCGGAGCAGAGGCAGGCCTTGTGCACTGTGTGCTCCTCTGCCGCTCTCCAGGGTGGTGCAGCTCAGCTCAAGCTTGGGCTTAAGGTCCATTTTTCCCCAAGTGTAAGTGTGACCCCGTTGTGACCCCTGCAGGAAAAGTTGCTGGGTTTGATGTCATTGCCGACCAAAGAACAGTTTGAAGAGCTGAAAAAGAAAAGGAAGCAAGATATGGAGAGGAAGAGGATGCTGGAGAGACAGGTGTGCAGGGTTTGGGCAGGTGGCAGTCACTGTCTCCTGGTGACCTGCTACTTCTGTTTTTTTTTTTTTTTTTTTTTTTTTTTTTTTTTTTTTTTTGGTTTTTTCTCCGGTACCGGGAACCGAACTCACGACCTTGTGCTTGCCAGGCAGGCGCTTTGCCGCTGAGCTAAATCCCCAGCCCCGACCTGCTACTTGTGATGTCCTGCTTACCTGCGTCACCAGAGCTCTGCTCATGCGTGTGTGCAGTTGCCCCCCCCATTTGGTTTTGTGTTCCATCTCGGGCGTGTGGTCTCTGTCTTTGACGTGTTTGCTTTCGTCTTCTGTTCTTGTGTAGTGTGTACCCACCTGTGGAAACCAGAATAATTCTCTCCCAGGTCCTTGTGTTGTCTCTGTGGTCCCACTGCTTCTCATGCCGAGAACACCAGAGATCGGCAGTGCTCCCTCTGGGGGAGCTTGCTGGGGGTCCACATTGAAAAGTGCACTGTTAAACAGAAAATAGCCAGGCCTGCTGGCTCACACCTATAATCTCAGCTTTTTTAGTAGACCGAGGCAGGGGGATCACAAGTTTAAACGGAGCCTAGGGAACTTAGTCACTTCGCAACACCCTATCTCGAATCAGAAAAAGTAAGTACAGGGATGTAGTTGTGCAGAGGCCCTCGTTTTCATCCCCAGTACCACAAAAAACACAGAAAATGGCCGGGCATGATGTCTACATCTGTATTCCTAGCTACTTGAGAGGCTGAGGCCACTGGGCAATTATTTCATGAGACCTTATCTCTGTAAGGGAAGAAAGGAGAGCTATGGGTGTAGTTCAGTAGTAGAGTACTGGAGGGCCTGGTTCTGTCTCCGGCATCCCCAGGGCGAAACAGAAGCAGGTCACCAGGACACAGTGTGACTGTTCAGCCTGGGTGGGTGCTAACGCTATCGACAGGTGAGAGACACGGAGGTGTACGCCCAGCATACGGCTCGTGACTGGGGCAGCTGCTCCCTAACCTGTCCTCGTGGTCAGTTTTGAAAATCAGAGACTGCCCAGCCTTTCTGTCAGCAGACGGGCTTTTCCGTCCAAACGAGGGAAGGTGGAGGTGGATAAGGGAGGCTTCTGTGACCCTGGTTCTGATTCTTCCCAGGCTGCCCTGGAGTCACAGCGCAGGCTGGAGGAGAAGCACCATGGTCTGGCAGCCAACGGGGAGGTGGCCCCCACAAGGAAGACTGAGGGCTGGCTCCCGCTGCCGGGGACGCAGGGCCAGCACGAGGACCCCGACCCCCTGCTGCAGCAGATCTACAACATTGAGTCATTCATCAAGCAGGCCCAAGCTGCTGGCCGTACAGATGAGGTGCGCACCCTGGGGGAGAACCTGCGGCAGTTGCAGGACGAGTACGACCAGCAGCAGACGGCCAAGGCCATCGAGCTATCCCGCAGACAGGCGGAGGAGGAGGCCCTGCAGCGCGAGCAGCTGCAGAGGCTGCAGGAGCGGGAGTGGGAGCGGGATCGGGATCGGGCCACCTCCCTGCACTCTCGCACCCGGGCCCTAGACTCCCGGGAGGCCACGCCCTTCCTGCTAGAGCCTAGCTCCAGGCCTCGCCCACATCCCTCCTTCGCACTGGAGCTGGGATCCTCCCCAGGCTTGAGCAGCATGGCCCAGGCCACACTAGGTGAAACCCCCTCACCTAGTTCGGCATGGGCCCTGGGCCAGGAGCGCCTCCCCCAGAGCACCGAGCCCCAGCAGAGCGACAACGCTCCGAACCCCTTCAGCGGAGATGGCCTCCCCAGTCCTGCCACTGCACAGGCCGTGCTCCCCAGAGAGTACAACCCTTTTGAGGAGGAGGAAGAGGAGGAGAAAGACACAGCAGCCTTGGCCACGGCCACAACTAACCCCTTCATCAGCCCTGACAGCCCTGCACCCAACCCCTTCGATGAGGATGACGACGAGGACCACAGCAGCCCCAACCGGAGGCCTGCTAGCCCGCCCGTGCCTGGCAACCCCTTCGAGGAGCCCACTGGCACCAACCCCTTTGAGGTAGACAGCGACAGCGGCCCAGAGGCCGAGGAGCCCATCGAGGAGGACCTGCTCCTGCAGCAGATCAACAACATCAAGGCCTACATCTTTGATGCCAAGCAGTATGGGCGCCTGGACGAGGTGGAGGTGCTGACTGAGAACCTGCGGGAGCTGAGATGCACCTTGGCCAAGCAGAAGGGGGGTTCCTGAGTGACAGCAGGGAGCAGGGCATGCAGCCCGGATGCTGCTGTCCATTCCAGATGCATCTCCATGATAGCGGCTAAGAAGGAACTCCTGGGCACCAGCCTTCACTCCTTGGTGGCATTTGCTGCCTCTTCTGTTTTTTTTTACTCAGCGTTTCCTCCTTTCAAGGACTTTGCATCTTTACTACAAAGCTGTAACTTGGTGCACCTCTGTGGCCAAGGTGGACATGACCACTAGCACCTCATGGTCTCGGGCGCTATGCAGTGTTAAGGCGGCCTCTGATGGGCAGGCAGCCCCAAGTTGTCCTGCTCTGGCAGAACCCTGCGCCCGTTGGGCTGTGGGTCCCAGCTTTGCCTAGGGTTGGTCCTGGGGACCAGTGCTGTGGTGCAGGGAACACTGGAGCAGGGGCCCCACCTTGGAGGATGTGCCGCCAGTGTCCCCTTCCCGCCCAGGCTACAGTGTCGCTCCCAGGGTGCTGTGCACTGTGACCTGGCCACGAGCCTGCAGGAAAAGGCACAGTTAATGTCCTGGCCTCTGTTGGTGCGTCTGGGAGAATCCCTCACGTGGACACAGCCCCGAGCCAGGCCTTCAGGAAGGGCCGGCGTATAGCTCCAGAGCTGGTGAGCGGAGGCCTGTGTGGAACATCGCCAGAAGAGCAGGGCCTTCTCCAAGGCTGAGTAGAGTCCGGCAAGCTCTGTGCTCTGGCCAGCATCTTGCTCATCGGGCCACCCTGGCCAGGGTGCTGGTGAGCAGTCTCCTCACCACTGTTAGTGTTAAGGAACCAAACTGCTAGGAGGGTGAACAGCACCCTGCAGTGGCCTGTGGCACTTGGTCTTCAGCTGGGGCAGAAAAGGCCGCTGGCTCCTTGGCTTTGGTGCTCTGGTACGCAGGAGCCAGACCCTGGACTGACGGGCGCCCTCATGGCTCTGGGCAGCACGCTGCAGGGAGCCTGGTAAGGAATAGTCACTTCACTTGTCACTTTATACCCTCACCTCCCTTGGACTGTGCTTCCACCAGGTAGTGTGGTGCCATTCATCTGCTTGCTGGTGGAGTGGTGGAGCCCTGGTGGGAAGGTTCCACCAGAACCACTGTCTTGGCCAAATGGGGACAAGTCCTGGAAGGGGGGGGGTACAGAGGACGCTGACAACTGCGTCATGTTCATGAAGCATGCAGCCCCACTCTGCAGTGTGGGTGGTGTCGGGCATACAAGATGTCCCCTGCTGCTGGCCTCCCTCCTTCCCCAAGGTCCAGGCCCTCTGTGCCATGGTGCTGGGGCTCGGGGCCAACCCACTGTTCTCTGCTCAGCTGTCTCTCCGAGGAGCCAGTGGCCTTCCACCCCGAAGAAGCTAATACAGCTCGCAGCGTCGAGTGGGGGCTCAGTGGAGACGGACTTGGCGCTGCCGCCCCCTGAAACCAGTGCCAGGTAGCAGTCTGCAAGGAACTGAGCATCAGAGATGCACACAGCACGTTTTTAAAAACTTTTTTAAGAAGTTAACTCTGTGAACATACTAATCCAAACTAAAGTCAGACCCCTCAGGTTCTGTGGGACTGTCCTGTGGCTGTCTTCCAGTCTTGGCCTCTGTCCCTGGAGCCTGTGGAGGACAGGCGACCACGGGGAAGAGACAGCTGTGTGCTCCACCTGTGTGGAGGGCAAGTCTGTGCTGGGGTTTGCATCTCCCCGTCTAATACACTAAGAACACTCGCTCCCACTTGCAGCCCAGTGTCTGCTGTCCTCCGTGTCATCGAGAGCCACCTGGTAGATGAGGCGCTGGAACGTGGTGAGATGTGGGCTCAATCCACGGTCACCCGACAGTGGTTGCTCTGGTCCTTGTGTCAGAACCATTTTTGAAAAATGAACAGCTGTGAGTGGTGGGTGTGCACATGGCATGTGCGTTTTGGGTGCGTTACCACAAGTCCCCTGGCTGGTAGCCCAGTGCCTCGGAGCACAGCTTCTGGGCCTTGGCCCTTTCAGCGCTGCCCGTGCTCCCAGCATGCTGGTCAGGGGTGGTGCCCACCCAGGCACAGTGCAAGGCTGTCGGGTTCAGCCGTCCTTCCACGCTGCTGCTGGGCGCTGCTGGCACAGGAGAAGGGATGCGTTAGTGGGGAGCAGCTGCTTAGTCCTCCTGACCTGCACTCAGGTCTCAGCTGGCTTGTGTGCAGGGTGGGTTGGGGGGCACACGCCGCACAAGTAGGTGGTGAGAGAGGTGGGCGGAGCCTGGCAGGTCTGACAGGGACCAGGGCCTCGCAGGGCATATGTGGATTACAGCTGGAGACCGCATAAGCACACTGGTGACCTCTGCTCCTCCAGCCTGGGGACAGGCCCAGGCTGAGTGATGAGCTCCTCTACTTGGGGGCTGCCCGCAGGACCCTGCTGCCTTCACCAGCTGTGTGGAGGCCCCAGATTCTAGAGTAGAGCATTTCATCCATTGTGAATGCTCCCTGTGGACTTCCAAGACCAAGAGTTTTGCCAGTGTGGTGGTGCACACCTGTAATGTCAGTACTTGGGAGGCTGAGGCCGGGGTATCACCTTGAGTTTGAGGGCAGCCTGGAATACATAGTCAGATCCTGTTTTAAAAAAATAAAAAAAAAAATATTTTCCTTCCCTTTTCTTTAGGTTGAGGTCTCAAACGGGGTGTGGTAGTACATACCTGTAATCCCAGCACTTGGGAGGCTGAAGCAGGAGGATCACCATGAGTTCAAGGCCAGCCCGGGCTACCTAGAGACCCTTTCTCAAAAAAAAAAAGGTTAGGGTCTTGCTGTGTGGCCAGGCTGGCCTCAAACTTGGGCTGCTCCTGCCTCAGCCCTCCCAAGTGACTGGTGCACACTATCCGCCCACTAAGACTAAAAGCTCTTCTGCCTAAACTTTAGTAGCCTGGCATCCTCTTAGGAGTACTTTGGAGAGCATTTCTCATTTTAGCCTGACATCCAGAGCTTGGAAGTTGTCAGTTTTTCCAAGCAGAAGCTGAATACCGAGTGTCGTGACTTTTGTAGATTCTTGGAGGGTGGTGTGGGTGGAACTCTGCCCTCCTGGGGGCAGGGAGCTTGGCCAGCCCGGCAGGGCCTAGAGCCACCCTTGGAAGGGAGAGCTGCCGAGGCTGTTGCGTGTGGGTAGCAGCACTCGCTTTGTCCTGGAGCATACTTGCTAACTGCTGTCCCCAGAGCCTTCCTGGCTGGGGGCAGCAGGAGCGAGACACTGATGGCCCACAGCGCAGGAGTACAGGCCCACGAAATGCCACGTGTCACCACGGATGATGGGACCTGCCCTCCCCACGCCCTGCCCTGCCCAGCAAGACTGCGAGCCAGCAGATTACAGCTGGACACTGCACTGGCCGAGGACCTAGGGTTAACACATCTTCACTCTAGAAGCTCATTTACTTCAGTCCGGTTACCCAGCACAGCCAGTGTCGATCCCGTCTTTACAAAAAACCACAACCACGCCTGTAGTCCCAGCACTGGGAGGCTGAGGAGGAGGATTGCAAGGACAGCCCAGCATGGGGAACTTAGCCACCCAGCATGCGCCTGTTTCGAAATAATGGCTGTAAACCTTTATTTTATTTTATTTTTTTTTAAACCAAGTTGATCTAGAGAGCAGGTCCATCCCAAACAAAAGATAAAACATGGCTGGACAGGACTGGTAACTAAAGCCTCCTGTAAGCACCATGGTGAGCCTGTGTCCCCAGAAACACAAGGACCAGAAGGTGACCATTGCAAAATCCCATGAGCGGAAGGACACCCAGCACCAAGGTGCATGTAACCCCCTGCTGGAAGGTGGGGTGGCATCGTATGGTACACCCTGAACTGAAGTGTGCTTGGGTAGTGATTTCAAGTCTTCTGGAGGTTCTTTCGCAGGATGAGGAGGTCTCTTTTAAAAAAAAAAGGTGGGTCTTTTGAGATAGGATCTATTTCAGTTCAGGCTGGACTTGAACCCACTGTGTAGCCCAGCCTGGCCTCAAACCTGCAGCTACCTTCCTGCCTCAGCCTCCTGAAAGCTGGGATTATAGGCATGTGCTACCATGTCCAGCTCTGTGTATTTTAATGAGATAATGTTCTAGGCCTTTGAGCTCAGGGCCCTTGTGGCAATATCTGTAACCTACATTTTTGTAGTGTCTATTGTCGGATACTTAATGGAGTTGCCCTTGGCCTCAGGACTGGGCCTCCACGCTTAATGGAGGTCAGCACAAAAGGCAGATTGATCGTGCGGCACTTCGGATGACTGTGGGCCCGTGCGCAAGGGCCTGGACAGGCGCTTCACAGCCATTGGCAGCACTTTAGCCACTACCACCTGAGAGGTGGGAGAGGGACGGTTGTCACTTTGAAGCGGCCTAGGAAACCCAAATCTAGAGACAGTCTCTTGGGGAAGTGTTCCAGATACTTCTGTAGCCTTTTCAGACCTAGACACAAAAGCTTCTGTCCATCCCATAAAAGTGTTAATAAATACTAAGCAACTGGGCGGAGTCAGCCTGCCAGCGCCCTGGTACGGCCCACAGCCTGAGCTGCAGCCTCCTGTGCGGAGGCTTGGATCCCAGGGTTTAGGACAAATCCCTGGCACAGGTCTTATAGCCTTTGACGCGAGAGACCCGTTGCACACGCTGTCCTCAGCCTTGGCTCACGATAGGAACCACAGTTCTTAGTATTGTCTGTTGCTCTAGTGTAGGGCAAGGGGGACACGTTTGACCTCAGCTGGCGTCCACCTGGCTCTGCAGGTGACACAGGCCAGTCTCAGGCACTCTGAGGTGAGCAGGGGACGGAAGCTGAGGCCCTCAGGTGGGCAGAGGAGCAGCGCAGGCTCAGGAGATGCAGCACACATTCACGGCCTGTCGGCGCCTTGGTTCCGGGTGCCGCCTTGGGTTGGACCGACAGCCCTTGCAGTGGGTACAGTCACTTTTGTTGGCAGTGACAGCTTTTTAAGTTGGCGTTGGGTGCGGGTTTCTCAGGTGGGAAAGTGACTGAGACAAGTAGGAGGTAGAGTAGCGGTTAAGAGGGGAGCATCTTTGGAGAGACACCTCAGGGTTGTTGGGTAATAAAACTCAATAGCGTCAGCGACGATGTTCTCTGAGCCAGTGAGAACTCTTCAACTCTAACGGGAAGCTGCTTGCTGAGCAATGAGAAGAGGCAGGAGATCCTCGAGTAGCTGTACAGGACCCTCTGCTAAAAAAGCAGAAGTGGCCTGGCCGGCCCTAGCCACTGTGTCCTGCTGCTGTGACTGGTGTCCTCCAGGTCTTTGAAGGCTCTGAGCCCTGGATGAGGACCCTGAAGCCATACCTGGTGCTCAGGTCCGTGTGACTGAAAGGTGTGTGGGTTATGCCCATCCCAAGGCAGGGCTTGAGAGAGCCTTCCGGTTTATCATAAGCCTCTTACCGGCTCTGTTTCCAGCAGAGAGGCATTTGGAACTCACGCAGGGGTTTAGCTAATAGACCAGCTCCAGGGAGTGACAGCTGGCACAGCCAGGGAAGCCTCAGAAAGCTTGGAGTTGCTTTCTAGCACTAGGGGCTGGAGGGCTTGGATGGTCTGTGTGCTGAGCTGTATGTGCTTGATGCTCTGCAGTTAAAACTCTGAAGAGTGGGCTTTTGGGGACAGCAGTTGAGCCTCAGGTTTTGAGACTTGATCTCCCCTGCCAGCCATCAAAGTTTGAACCAAATGATCTTGAGCCTCTGTCAGCAGAGAGCAAAGAAGGTCATCTACACACTGTATACCAGTGCTGCCTGTGCAGGTTAGAGTGTTTGAGTCAGCCAAAGCTTGTGCAGGCCATTGGGCTGCCCTGAGCCCCTTGGAAGTACAGTCCAGGCAACAAGGAATTAGAAAGCTGGGTGTGGTGGCACACTCCTGCAACCCCTGCACTCAGGAGGACGAGGCAGGAGGATCCCAAGTTTGAGGCCAGCCTGGGCTACATAGTGAACTTAAGGACAGCCTGAACTCCATAGCGAGATCCTATCTGAAAAAACAAAATCAACAACAACAAAGGAAATGGAACTCTGGGGCCGCACATCTCTCAGTCCTGTAAACCATTGGGTGTCAAAAGGAGCCTGGCCCAGCAGTATCGAGTCAGGGCCACTGGGCGCTTGGGAACGTCTGCCTTGTGCACACACAGTGGTCCCACTGGACACTTAGAACAGGTGTCACAGGTGACTGACAAGGCACTCAATGCTCCTGGTGTAGAAGCTTGTTTATCAGAGGTTGTAACCCGGATTGGGCTTCTGGCTAAAGGAAATACTCTTGCCGGCATGGGAAGGTGTGAGGATCTTTCAGCGCCATCACTTAGTGGGTGCCAGTACCAGGGCTTTAACAAAGGTCAGTAGGGTCAGAGTCATCAGCATGGCTGGGAGAGGCAACCACGGCCATAATTGTGGGGCTGCTAGGTGAGCAATAGACAGTTCATCAGTAAGTCTCGGCCAGCAAAGGGGCTGGATATTTCAGGCATCACCAAGAAAGCCTGGGTGGGGAGGAAATTATTTTATCAGTGACAATGAGGAGGAGTAAAGCAGAGGGCACCAGAGTCCCATTGATGCCCATAACCTGACAGCTGTCCGGAATGGGAGGTGAGAACAGAATAAGAAGCAGGAAGCTAAGGTCTTACCTGTGACATCCAGTGTCACCGAGGGTCCGTCCCTTCATGGTAAAGATTGAACTGGGGACCGACTGCAGCCTTTGCCTCATTCCAGGGACAACAGCTGGGCGCTGGACCAGGGTCCTTCCCTCCTGGGGATGTAAACCCTCTGTGCCTTTTGTGACCGGAGGACGCCCTTCTGCCAGCAGAGGTGACACTGTCAAGTAGCTTGTTTTCCTTGGGGGAGGGGCCAGGAGCCTAGGTGACATCCAGTGACCTGTACTGCAGTGAGAAGTTCCACATGCTTTGTGTCCTCTTGTTTTGATTTTTTTTTTTTTTTTGGTGGTGCCGGGGATTGAACTCAGGGCCTCATGTGTGCTGGGGGTCCTCATTGCCTCTGCCACTGAGCCACATCCTCAGCTCTCTAACTTAATCTTAGATTCCTTTCCCTGCTTTTTCTCCTCTAGATCCCAGTTATAAAAAAAAGATTAGCTAAAACATGCATGGTGATGCACGCCTGTAATCCCAGCACTTGGGAGGCTGAGGCATGAGGATCATTACCAGTTTGAGGCCAGCCTGGACCACTTAGACCCTGTTTCAAAAATGAACAAAACACAACTAGCATTTAGTGGGTCATCACTGGGAGTTTAGGTCACAAAGACGACCTCTTTTGAATTTATCAGGAGCTGACTGGATAAGAAATCTGTTTTTGGCTGGGGATTTAGCTCAGCAGCACAGTGCCTGCCTGGCAAGCACAAGGTCATGAGTTCGATTCCCAGTACCGGAAAAAAACCGAAAAAATAAAATAAAATAAGAAATCTGTTTTTGGGAGGCCCCCCTCATAAGATGAGGTGTGCTTTTGCAGAACCTCCTTCCTTAAGTCATTGAAGAAATGTAGCCAGGTTTTCATTTGGCCCCGGATCAATAGTAGCCAATTTAGAATAATTTACGGGTTTGACTTCATTTTGAGGGGTGGGTTTGTGACAGAGTCTCACTGTGCGGTTCAGCTCAGCCTGAGACAGCTCCAGGCCCGATAATGTACCTGTGCTCAAGAGTATGTGTGTTGTCAGGGTAACGCCTGGCCCTTGTAGTTACTTGGGAGCTTTCTGACTCTAAGAATCTGTCCTAAGAGTTTATAACTATTAAAAAGATGTCAGATACCTTCTGTTTTTTAGGATCATCTGAAAAATTACCTGCTTGATTTGTTTTAGTCCTGCACAGAGAGATGGTCAGGCTCTAACTGGTCCAAATTCACCCAGCAGCTCCTGAAGTGGGCATATGCATGCAGGGTTACAGCTGTTGCAGGGGACCTGAATAGGGGGAGCCAGCCCCTCTGTTTGGTTCTGAGCATCAGCAGTATCCCCTGGCCAGGAGCTGGCTCAAAGGATAGATGGTCACCCAAACAAGGGGTTCCATCTACATATGAGTGTCACCACATGGGATCAGACTTCCACTGTGGGCAGGAGTCAGGATTACCCCCAAACACAGCTCACACGATACCTTCAGCCAATTTCCTATCTTGTCATGAGAGGTCTAAGTGCAGCGCCATCACAGGATGCATCTGAGCTGGCTCAATAGGACACATCTGTGAGGAGAAGGACGTACACCTTCCAAGGGTGTCGCCCTCCCAAGAAAAGGAAAATGAAGGGGTAGGAGGTGCAAAAATTGTTCCCCTTTGTCCCTCTACAGACTGGAGGTCAGGTATAATTTGTCTCCACCAAGTCCTGGATCTGGGTGGTCCACAGCCTCCACCGGGCCCCGTGTTCTTATCTGATTAACTCACTAGGGTACCCCCCATCAGGTGAAGCACTAGTTTGTATTTTGTCAATATCTGCATGGAAGGATGACTGACACTCTTCGATTTATAGACTGATGCATGGCATCTGACATACACTAAGAGATTAGAGCTGTCTTAGGATCTATTGGCATGAGAAATAGAATTAATATTAATTCTATTAATACTTTATATTAAAAACACTTGAGGGCTGGGCTGGCAAGCGTGAGGTCCTGAGTTCAATTCCCAGTTTAAAAAGAAAAAAAAAAAACTTGCAACAGCATGCAGGTCAAGGGAAAGGAAGCAGAGCTGCTGACAGTGTGCCATCTTCTGATCAAAAGTGGCAGGACAGCCAGCAGAAACGCAACAGCTGAGGAACAGAAGCGGATACAGAACGCCAAGGAAACCTGCGGAAACAAGGTCTATAAACATCACAGCCTGTGATGTCACCTTGCCTATGAGGACATCTTCCTTGAGGCGCCCAGGCTCGGATATTTTGAACAACTTTAAGCCCGTGGGCCGCTCACCACTGGGTGAATCCAGCATCCACGTCAGGGGTCCTGACACCGCAAGGAGCCACAGCACAGCGCCATTCCTCATGTGTGTGATGAAGGGTTTCAGACAGTGGAGCTTCACATGGAGTGTAGTCGAGTTTATTGCAAAATGATAGCTTTTCGGAGAGGCAGAGGGAGAGAGCGAATATGAATAGCAGCGGGCAAGCACAGAGCGGGCAGCTGCCCTGAATGAAGTTGCGTTTCTCTGATCGCCCGGGTGTTTCAGGAACATCCTCTCCTGCCTTGAGGTCATTGCTCACCTACCTCCGAGGGGAGCCTGTCCCGCTCACCCTTGTAGCTAGCGATTAAGAAAGCGAAGGGTGAGCAGAGTCCTTCGGAAGGGGTGGATTCCAAGCCATTGTTTTCTCTTTTGGCAAACCAGTTTGTTTTTGAGTCAGAAATTGCAGGTTCAAACTTTCAATTTTTTTTTCAAACTTTTAATTTCAAAACTAGAGATGCTGAGAGACAAAGCGGCATTTACTGGGGACTGAAGAGCCAACCGTCAGCGGACCTACAGGTGCTCAGAATTTAGGACAGGTGTGCGCCTCCCTGGTCGCGCAGGGTCATGATCGTACTCAGCGGACGACTACAAATCCCAGATTGCCTCGTGGCGCGCGCTGCTTGTCGGGAGCGCCTCCCATGATGCCCCGCGTCGTGCCCGCTCTTTCTGTCTGCTGCCACTATGTCCATGAAGGGACGCTTCCCAATTCGCCGCACGCTGCAGTATCTGGGGCAGGGCAGCGTGGTTTTCAAGGACTCGGTGAAGGTCATGACGGTGAACTACAACACGCACGGGGAGCTGAGCGAGGGCGCCAGGTGAGTGGGGCCCGCGAGCGAGTACTGTCAAGCGGCCGCCCCCTGCCAGCGCGGGACGGGAACGGTCCTGTGTCCTCCCGGGTCCGCCAGGCGCCGCCCCACCCCTCGCGGTGAGCTAGGAGCTCAGGCGTCTCCTCCCGCCTTGGTCCCGGGCCCCACGATTTGCTTGTCAAAGCCGAAAGTCAGATGTGCATATGTCTCCTGGTGATGACGCGTACCTGTCCCACTTGTGCCCTTTGGTTGAGCCCGCTGACTTGCCCGTCTAGCCTGCCACCCCCTGCCTGTCCTGTGCCCTCCGCAGTTCTGCTGTCCGGATTGGGACCTTCCTGCATTCCAGGTCTTCCGGGGCAGTGCTGTGGCCCGGGGCTTGGCGATGGGCAGGCGCTGCCCTCTTGTGGACCGGTACTGCCTCCGCACAGCTCCAGGACGCAGGTGGATTTGGCTCCTTTTTTTTTTTTTGTCTTTTTGAGACAGGGTCTGGCTATGCAGTTCAGGCTGGCCTTGAGCTCCCTTTGTAGCCCAGGCTGGTCTCGAACTCGCAGAGACCCTCCTGCCTCAGCCTCCTGAGTGCTGGGATTACAGGCGTGTGCCACCACGCCCGGCGGATTTGGGACTTAATGGTGACAGGTCAGTGGTGGGAGCCGGGGTCAGAGTCATGTGACCTGGGGCTGTTCGCTTATCTCCTGGCCCGCTCCTGAATGGAGAGCAGGGCGCTGCAATGTCCAGCAGGGCACCTGCTCTTCCCTTTCATCCCATACTTCAGCTTGAACCAGCCGAGATCCTTGCTGTGAGTTTGTCGCGGGCGATCCAGCCGTGTCCTGGTTTCTTTGGCTCTGATGCTGGATAGCGGTAGCCTGCTGTGCCTGGACCTTCCAGCAGTGCTTTGCTAGCGACACGTGTGACTATCTGTCAGGGAATTAGCCCTTTGTTTGGCAAACACTTTTCTTTTGGTTTGGCAGATGTTGAATTTATTTTTGGTAACCTTTGCCCTACAGAGGTCTTATGGAGCCACCCTTCTGTCTGGGCTGTGGGCTTCAGAGTTTTCTCGACTCCTGGAATGTGAAACACCTTGGTGTTATTTTCACGATGGTGATCACCAGTGCTTGACACGCTGGTCACCTCTCCGGTTTCGTTTTCCCTTCCCGCTTTGCCCTGGTGAGTTTCGCCAGTCTGGTGCCAGTGTCCCTCCTGCCTCCAGCTGTGCTCCTGCTTCAGAGTGGGGGCCCCAGAGTCTCACCTGTGGGACCCGCTGGCCTCTCAGTGGTCCCCAGGAGAGAGAAAACGGCAGGAGGGTTTAGAAAATAAAGACAAGAGACAAGAGCTGGGGTCAGGTGGAGTAACCTATTCCTGACGGGCGAGAGAACTGAACTATAGTAGTAGGGGCATTTATTTATACCTTTGCAAAGGTAGTATCACAAGAGGTAATGCTGCCTAGCGACTGACGACAGTAATTGTCCAGGCACGATGTTTTTCTCAAGACCGAGGCAGCTTGACCGCTTGAGGCGCTCTGCCTCTGTCCTGCCCTCACACATGACCAATTTCCAGCTCCAGCGGCTCCCAGCACTCACCAGTTCCCTTCCTTGCGTTGGCAGGAAGTTCGTGTTTTTCAACGTCCCCCAGATCCAGTACAAGAACCCCTGGGTGCAGATCATGATGTTCAAGAACATGACCCCGTCTCCCTTCTTGCGCTTCTACCTGGGTGAGTGAGGGGCTGTGTGGCTGCTGCACCTGGGGACCATCACCGGGGCGGAAGATGAGCCTGCCCCCTCCCCGAGCCTTCAGCTGGCTGGTGTCACTTCCCTGGTGCCACCCTGGGTGCACAGCCCCTCGAGAGGGTGGGGGTCCTGCTCGGTTGTTTCTTACAGAGGCCTCTTTTCTTTGTGGTTTTGAGATCCACCCGTGTGAATGTGTTGGTACTTTGTTTTGTGTTTGTTGGTGTTGGGGATAGAATGCAGGGCCTCATGGAGCCTAAGCAAATTCTACCGCCAGGCCACACAGAGAGCAGCAGGTTCATTTGCTTTTTCTTTCTTTCTTAGTACATGTTCACCATACGTAGTGACTGCATTCACCCTGGGGACTCATTTGTTTGCTTTTAAGCCAGGCTCACAGTGTTCCCTAGGCTGGCCCTGAGCTCCAGGGCTTCAGCAGTCCTCCTGCCTCAGTCTTCCAGGTAGCTGAGACCACAGGCAGCAGCTGGTGTGTTGGGCTTCAGTTTATCTATGTTTATTGCTGAGTAGTATTCCATTTGGGGAGCACCACAGTTTAGCTGGCCGTTGATGAGCCCAGGACCTTAGGCTGATGCCAAGACAGAGCAAGCTTGGCTGGAGATGAGGCCTCACAGGGCGAGGGCTAGGGAGGAGGGTGTAGGGACAGCACAGGCCCCGCCCTGGGAAGGAGCTGCGGACGGTGTGGCAGCCCCGAGGAGCCTAGGGATCCTATGGGGACGGTGTAGCTAGGCTCTGGCAGGAGTGGCCAGGGAGGGCATGGGCACCCAGGGCATCTGCGAGCTCCAGGGGGCCTCTGCGTCGTGCTCGGTCTGAGTGACTGGGAAGGAAGCGGGTTGGTTCCTCACACTTCTGGACACTGGGTGCCCATGGGCACAGGAAGCCCTGGGGGTGCGGGGCTCCACCTGGGAGAATGGCACACACCGGAGGGCATGCACGGAGCTCCGATGCCTTCATGGGACTGCTCTGGTGACCCATCCAGCCCTCCTCTCTTCCGTACTTCCCTCTCTTCGAGAAGGTGGGTAAAGCTTTGGTCTGTTTGGGCCTGAGCCATCGGTTCACACATGGATGTCTGCTCACTGGACAACCCGACCTCATGAGTTAGCTGGGTGTCCTGGCGGAGACCGGCTACCCCACACGCCAGCGTCCTCTGCACGTGGCTCTGTCCCCTTGGTCACGCATCTGCTCAGGCTGGGCCCACACCGTCTCGCTCACAGTCACTTCACCTCATTGCAGATTCTGGGGAGCAGGTCTTAGTGGACATGGAGACCAAGAGCAGCGGGGAGATCGTGGAGCACGTCCGCAGGATCCTGGGGAAGAGCGAGTGAGTCCCAGTGTGGCCTGGGGCGTGGGAAGGAGGGAGGGAAGGGGCGCATTCCGAGGGCGCCCCAGTGCTGGTGCCGGCCTCATGGCTCCCTGGGGTGAGGCCACCTGCATCGCATCCCTTTCCTGTCCATGTGTTAAGACACATAAGGCCCCGCGGGGCATTCCAGCTCCTCTGCTCAGTCCTTTATCCCCTTGCCGAGCCCGCGTCACACCCTGCCCTCTGCCCTGACAGGGAGACGCTGCAGAAGGAAGAGCAGGAGAGGCAGCGGCTGTCCCACCCGGCCAACTTTGGGCCCCGGAAGTACTGCCTGCGGGAGTGCATGTGTGAGGTGGAGGGCCAGGTGCCGTGCCCGGGCCTAGTGCCCCTGCCCAAGGAGATGACGGGCAAGGGCAGGGCCGCCCTGAGAGCCAGTGCCCAGGACTGAGGTGCCGTGGGGAGATGGCCCCTACGAGCAAGGATGCTGCGTGTGAGGACCGTGTCTGAGGACCCTGCGTGGGAGGATATGCAGGCTGCTGCGTGGACGGACGCCCCTGCCCTGTCAATAAAGACTCCGTGAGCAGTGCAGCTGGATCTGGTCCTGAGGGTGGGCGGGTGGGCTGGGCCCCTGGCTGGAGAGCGGAAGGGTTAGGATTAGGGTTAGGTTCAGATTCACTGTTGTTGCCTGCTTGCGGCCCTCTCCCGGCCTCCCGATAGATGGCTGCTGGGTTACTGGGCTTCTTCCTGGGCAGGCCACAGGTCTCTCGTGACATCAGGGTCCTCAGGTTGTGCAGGATCTGGGCTGATGGAGGGCACTCGGCATGGCCTGCTGTGGCCAGCGGCTGTGTGATGTCTTACTCAGCACTTCCTGCCCTGCCTCCCAGCTGCTAGCTTGGTCCCCTGGCTTCAGCCCTGGTCACTGTTAGACACTGGCGCAGTGAGGTGGCCCAGAGCTTCTCCATGCAGTGGGAGGAAGTCAGTGTCTGCCGCACAAGGTCACTGGCCAGTGTGGTGACAGAAGTCACAGTGTGATGTTAGCGCTGGACATAATCACTCGGGACTGGCCGTTCCAGTTTGTGGTTCAGGTAAGGGTGGTGGGCAGGGCTCTGCGTGTGACAGACAGGTGTGCGTGAGTGACCTGGTGTACCAGGGTGGCCCTGTGCTTTTCTGCTGTGGCTATTTTGGAGGGGGCAGAGGAAGCCCTCCTCCCTCTACCTGGCTGCTGGGTTGGGGCGCTCAGGTCACAGGTTTCTGTCCCTGCAGTGTGGGGCTTGGGGTCGATGCTGGAAGGCAGGCGCACCGTCATCCACTGCCACCCTTACCGAGGGCGTGGACAGTCACAGGTGACGGCAGGTGGGAGCCAGCGCCAGTGGGATTTTGCACCTAATCCTCTCTTGTCCTTTGGTGGTGATAGAACATGGGTTTAACCACAAATGTATGGAAATGGGACAAACTGGGAAGACACTTTGAGGAGCAGTTTGCGTGTGAACACTCCTGTTCCCAGGGGGTTTGCCCTTGTTTCTCTGATGTGACCAATCCTGGTTATTTTGCAGTTTGCTGGGCTGTGCCGTTTAAAGCTCTTTGGCTGCACTGAGGCCGTGGGGCCTGTAAAATGAGTGGTCACATGACATACTAAGTTCACTCGGACTCGCAGTCTTTTTTTTTTTTTGAGACAGGGTCTTGTTATGTTGCCTAGTTGGCCTTGAACTCACAGCAGTTCCCCTGCCTCAGCCTCCTGAGTGCAGGGATGATAGGCGTGCCACGCCCAGCTCACTTCTGAATCTTTTTTTTTTTTGCCTTTTTGAGACAGGGTCTCGCTATGCAGTTCAGGCTGGCCTTGAGCTCACTTTGTAGCCCAGGCTGGTCTCGAACTTGCAATGATCCTCCTGCCTCAGCCTACCAAGTGCTGGGATTACGGGCATGCACCACCATGCCCACCTCTGACTTCTGACTCTTTACGGGCGCATTTCCTTCAGGACAGCAGAACCCTCCTGGGAGGACTCATTGGCTGGAGGTCTGACGTGGCCCCACTGTGCTCTGCCCTCTGGACACCCGTGTGGCAGGCTAGTCTCACTCTGGCTTCCTACCCATGATGCCTGCGAGCCCAGGCCCTCTGTCCCTTCTGGTGGCAGTAGCTGCAGAGCCCCCTGCCCCACTCGGACCGGGTCAGTGTTGCCGTAGCTCTGAGGAGAAATGAGGAGCGGCGCAGATGTCTTTAATCCACTTTTAATAGTATAAACCTCATGTAGGTAGTAGTATGAAGCCACAACAGTAATGCCACATCGAAACAGCATTTAATAAAATGCATAAAGCTAATTCATGCACTGCGACACTCTATATACAAACACAACAATGCAGATTCTTCAAGACTGAAGACACTGATTAGATATAAAATCCACTTTAAAAAGAACATGCTTGTTTTTAAATGCCATCACGTAACAAAGCTGATTTGTACAGGACGGAAGCTGTGTGACGCCACAGCTCCCAGCAGGTTTGGAACCTGGAATTAAAAGGTAATGGCATGAACAGTATTTTCTATCCTGTGAAGGGCAGAGGCTACAGAAACGGTCCCAACACCTGGTTCTCCTTGAACAGACATCGTCTCACGAGGGCTGGCGACACAGCTGCGTGGTACGGAGGGCCGGACTACAGCAGGAACTACGGGCGGTGCTGAGAGGCGCAGCTTTCGGGTATAAAACTAGCCGCGCGCTGGTTTCAGGGTAGAAAAGGTTCTGGCACTGAGTTGTGTGCGGTGGCTGTGCAGAGTCCATGAGCAACGTTACGGCCAGAGAAGTGACAGTGACGGGGGGTCCTTCCTTCATGAAGAGCCGGGTTTGCTGTCAGTCTGCCCCTTCCTGATGTTACCTCTGCGTTAAACTAAAGCACTCTCTTAACTGGTAAATGGTGTTGGGGACTTTCATGTGTAAATACCAAGACCAAAATTTATCTTCTTAATGCAAGTTTAGCAGGACATTAAAAATATCTGACATTTCTTTTTTCCCTAAAAGATATGTTTTGAGTTTCCAGTTTGTTATTAGGTTGCTAATGTAACAGCCCCACGAAGATACTTTAAAGTCATTTAGAGACAGTCGGTCCCCTTATTGACTGGAAAGCCAGTTTATTTAGTGTGATTGTCACAACAGGCCAGGGGTGGGACTCCACGGAAACTCTCATGACGTCAGAACAGGGATGCACAAGGTTCAGCGACCCACGTCTCACGAAAGGCACTGAGTGCTGCGGCTGCGTGCAGTGTTGCTAACACCGGGCCAGCTTAGCTCGGCCCCGAGGCCCCGGGAGCTCCTGTGCTGTCTGCCCTCAGGCCTGTGTTTCGTGGAAAGATGGCTACAGGGAGAGAGCACAGAAGATCTGGCAAAGAAAATTGGCATCTGTAGTTTTCAGGGCAAACACATCCATACTGAAGCGGGAGTTTTTACCCCAAGAGTGCAAACCCTAACTTACAGAAAGGAATAAAGCCAGCGGGCTCCATCGGCATGCTTACAGTTGGGAAAGTGATTTAAGGTGTGTGGACCCAGGGCCACCGTAGTGAGCTGGCAGCAGTGATGCCTGGTTAACACCAGCAGGCACTGCGCCGGGAGGTGGGTTTGCCTGGCTGGGGCCAGCACAGACATCACTGACGCTGTCACCTCCAAGTGGCTCTGCAGACTGGCCGTGTCCAGCCCTAAGCTGGCAAATGGCTCCAGTGCCTGGGGAGGCTGCTGGCTGTCAACCAAGATCCTTTAGTCGGGCCAGGCACTGGTGCAGAAAAAGCCACCACCCAGTCCTGGCGGTTGGGCCATACTGTACCCCGCCCTGGCCCTGGGACCTAGAGGGCACAGACCAATGCCCTGGGCTGGACTCCTCCCTTCTGAGCTCCTCCTGGACCCTGGCCCTTTTCACAGTCCCCTGGAATGGGGCCTCAGCAGCTCTCCTAGCTGTCGCTGTGGAGGCTGGGTGGTGGCTGGGACTCTACACATGATTTATACCTACGTACATGGATGCATGCTATGTATGCCATACACAGGTGTACACACATGTACACTCAGGAGACCTGGTTGGGGGCTGGTTCTGAATCTACAGGCTGAGTGGGATAGGTGGGCAGAAGGGGTGTCAGATGGTAGCCTTCGTGCCTGGCCATGGGAGCACCACTGCCACCTGCCACCCCACTACACATCACATGTTCACACCACAAGACAGACAGTGAGCTTTGGGACTCTCGGGACAGCAGACCCTACTCTCTGGGATGCTCCTGAGGGTTGTGCTCACCAGCTTGGAGCCTGTGATCACTGGCCCCCTGCTAGGGTCCACACTGTGTGGATGCGGGGCCACCTCTGAACAGAGCTGCCTCTGATACAGTGACAAGCCAGATGCTAGCCTGTGAGGGCAGAGCGCGACTACCCTGCAGTTAAATAAAACCAGAACAACCAAAGATCCCGTGCCGCAGGCCACAGCAGAGGTTGGACAGTGCATGCAGCTTCCCTCTACGCACACACTTGTGGCACACTGGAAGGACTGATGTACGTCTAGACACCTTCCAGGAGGAACTTGAGAATCACTGCTGAAGGAGTTTGGTCTTTACCAGTCTGCTGTCCGTTCACACCTGTGGTAATGACCACCACACACGGACCACATGGCTCTCCTAACGCAGCACTGTCTGAAGTGCTTCCGGAGAGACTTGTGGCCGAGAAGTTACTGCCGAGCTGTGTCCCGACTGAGGGCTGGTCCCACCTCGGCCCAGGGCGTAGTGCGCACTCCAGGTGAGGACTGCAGCCTTGGCAGAGACCTTGCTATCCCCAGCCTGGGTGGGCACTTGAAGCCATCTGACAAGATGCACAGTTGAAGGCTGGAAATGACCTCAGGCAGCGAGACTGTGGGCGTGCGATGTGACCCTCAAAGGCAAGGCCACTGCAGAGCAAGGCTGGGGATCTGGGATGTCCTGTGGCCACTGGAATTGGCCAGCACTGGTCAGAGTCAGCAGCTTCCCACGTAAAACCACTCTTCTCCGATGTTGTGTCCCTGAGCTCTGCACGGCCCTTCTCCCTTGTCCCTCAAGGGTGCTCACGCCAGACCCTGAGGAGCTGGATGGGAGAGCTGGGAGCTGTGGCGAAGACACACTGCCCTTGGCGACATCCCAACTAGACTCTTCACAGGCAGAGGAAGGGGACCCACCGAACCCCTCGGTCCTGGGCAGTCTTTAGTTTTAAAATTTAAAACACTTGGGTTAGAAAACTAAATCATACTTCAAGCTGGCAAAATTACCTATCATCATTTCATACTGGCCACCTGACGTCCCCAACACCTGCCCCCCGGGTGCCACCTACGATGACACCCCGAGATCCAAACGGCAATTTGGGAGCCAGAGATGCTGTGCACACTCAGTTTCCACGAGCGTGAGCAGCGGCAGCTGGCAATGCTTGGGACCCTCTGTGGTGCCTGCAGCCGGCACCCACTCAGCCGGGCACTTTGCAAAGCCAGATCCGACTCAGTCCCACAGATGCAAACCTCACCCTGCAGGAAGGGCTTTCTTACTCCAGCCCAGACGGAAGCCCAGGGCGCCTGGCGCAGTCCCAGCCAGGAGTCTGTTCTCACTGCAAACCATCGTCACTGTCATTTTTGCGGAGAGAAAATGTGGCATTGGGATCGAGGGCCGCTGCTGTGTCCACTGAGCGAAGGCCCCAAAAGGCTCACAGGAGAGAAGACCAGTGTGGGGCTCTGGGAGAGTCCCGGATGTTTAACCAACAGCAAAGAACCATCCTGATGCTCCCGTTCCTGCCAGCGCCGACACAGGTTGACAAGAGTGCGGCACAGCCCTGTCCGGCTGCGCGGGTCCAATGCCTCAGAGACACACAGGCCCTGGGTCGGGAGCTGTGCTGCTGCGAGCCGTGGTGACGACGTTTCCAGTGCCAGTGGAACTGGGTGACGGTCTGCTGGGCTGCACTCTAATCTTGTCGCTCAGCACAGAAGCCAGGTCCCAGCAGTCTGCGGACGGTCACAGGCCAGGTCTGTGACAAGCCTCAGCCCGTGGCTGGTGGCTTTTGGTCTAGCTCCCTGCCACTGGGCCACCGTGCTCCCATGGACGGCGTGACGCACTCTGACACCAGTGTGCACACGGACAGGAACGATCTTTCCTTCCTTAAATGCTTGATTGTCTCCTGTGGCCCAGTGCGTTTCCGCAGGGATCATGAGCATCTCAGTAAAAGACAGTTTTCCATTTGCCCTGCCCACGGCAAGATGGTGCTGACGTCACAGATTCTGGTAAGAAGTGCTTAGAAAGTGCTAATGTTGTTACCCTGGTAATTAGTAGCTATTAATTCCAAGGACATTTTTAATATATTTACACGCATACTGTTCTCTTAGGTTCTTTTAGTTTCAATACTAGTCTCTGACGTTATAAAACTTCATTTTTGTTTTTTGCCCTTTGAGAAATCAATAATACAAATTTGAGTTAAAAGATTGTTCCAAAGTCGGCTGCTTCGTCAAAAGGCATGGAAACGTTTCTCACGGCAGGAAAAGATCCTAGTCTTTAGTCGAGACTGCCTGGGGTTACAGTAAGAGGAAACCAGGTGGGGAGTAGCTGACATGGAAACATCTGCACATACCGGACTCCGTCCGCCACTGTCTTCTGGGGTCCGAGGGGCCTGGAGCCCCCGCCGGCAGGGCGCCGTGCCTATAGGCTGGCCCCGGTGATCTGGCCGTTGTACTCCGCTGTCTCCATTTTGAGGATGTAGGGGATTATGCTGTCTATTGAAACGTTGCCAATGAGGCCGGTAAAAAAGAGTTCTTCCGTGATGTTGGAGCTCATCAGCCTGAGCGCAGGCAGGCGGACAAGGATCCGGGCCAATCTGCAAGAGGGAGCAACGTGAGACCAGGGGCTGGTGCTGTCCCGGCCCGGGCTGGCTACTGAGCAGACCCCGCCCACCCAGCGTCAGGTTCCTCTCACACGTGTGCTCTCTCCGCTTGTGTTCGCCGCCGCCCACCCTAAGTCCACAGAAAGAATGGAAACTTAGAAACCCGGCAGCAGGTGGAGGTTGGGGCCTAGTGCCCTATGCTACAGAGAAGACTCTAAGCACCCACACCACGGAGGACGACAGGACGCGGGACACTGCTCGAGGATGAGGGACAGGGAGCCTTGCGACGTGCACACAGCAGTCTGCACGCATTTGGATGGGCATCGCTCCGGTGCCGAGTCTGGGCTCCGGTGTTGGAATGATTGTCCTGGGAAAGCTGTCTGTGTGGCCCTCGCTTCCTGGGTCCAGTTAACAATGCAAGTGGACAAAGATGGTTTCACCCAAAGAGACCCTGGCAGGAGGCTACTGTGTCCTGGAGGGCCACGGACAGGTGGACGGGAACTGGCCTCGGACGGACAGCAGTGGTAAGGGGTGGGAGGCCACTGCGCCAAAGCCGGAACTGGACCCGGCTGCCGTCCCACAGTGGGGAGAGGTCAGGGAAATGCTCATTTACATTTAATGGAAAAATATTTCAAAGCCTTTTGGGTTTTATGATCCCAATCACACTACATAAAAGTTTCTAGAAGTAAATGCATAAAATGTTATAGTAGGTATTTCTGATAGCGCTTTTCATTGGAGTAAGTTTTCCCTCTCCTTTTTGCTCTCTAGGATGTTTTGTTTTCCACAGTGAGCACATTATTTTCGGAAGACAGCGTACATCTGAACTGTGCATGCAGCGTGATCCATCCTGCGGAGAGGGCACCCCGGTCTCAGGGGCAGCCAGGCGGCAGGCTCTGGAGTGGCAGGGCTGACCTGGGAGGGGTTCCTGGAGGTGGCTGACCATCAGCATTGTGTGGAGCGGTTCTGGGAGGGCTCGGGAGGACAATCTGAGGGAAGAAAGGGCCCTGGGCAGGACAGCCTGGCCCAAGAGCATACTGGAGCCGGCACTCCCTCCAGGGCCTTTTCTCAGTGAACTGTCTAAATGGGTCTCTCTGGGTCTTCTTAGAAAGTCCAGATCACTTGTCACCTCCCAGATGCCCAGCTGCCTCAGGAGTGGCTGAGGATTTCTTAGAACCAGCCTATCCATTTTCCAAGGCCACTGGGTAGTGACCTAAAGAGCCCCTGAGCATGAGGTGCTCCTGGACTAGAGCTAGTGGGTGGTGGCCGTGCAGAAGTCACGGCGGAGAGGCTGCTGCCCCTGGCGTGCCTACCCAGAGACCCCATCACATGGAGAGCCACTGGGGACTGTCCTGCATCAGTCGGGCCCGCAGAGCAGGCTTGCTCTGGGCTATGTGGCGAGCCTGGCCCGGCGGTATGTCTCTGTGGACTGAGTTTTATTTGGGGGCCAGGGCAGGAAGGGAAGCAGGAAATGAGCCACATGTAAGGCGGCAGTGGCAGGGACTTGCTCTCTGTAGCCCCCGGTGCTGTGCCTATTTATATGTAGTCTCGCTGCCTGCTGTTACAGACAATACCTGTAATTACCTTTCACCCAAATAAAGGAACTTTTGAGACCGGTTTATCTGGGGTAGAGTTACTGCCTTCCATAGGCCCCCACTCAGCCTTGTTGAGGGCTCTGTGCTGCGCAGGGCGGGGTGGGGGGTGCGGACAGAACAGGGACCTCTGGGGATTCAGGCCAGCTTGGGCCGGCTTGGGGACCACCCAACCTCCACTCCCACCAGCCCAGCACAGTGCAAGGTGTCACCCGAGTCTTCGGGCCCAGGTAAAGCTCTGGTGGGCTGTCCTCACCGGTAGGTGTCCTCGGAGTAGGTCTTCTGCACATAGTCCTGCAGCTCCATCTGGGCCTTCTCCTGGAACTTCTCAATCTGGCTTGTGCCCGTCAGACCTGGGTGGTCTGGAACAGGAAAGACCCCAAGTTCCCCTCTGCGTTTGGGAGGTGCAGTGGCAGACTCCCTAGAATTTCACTTCAGTCAAATTCTGACAGATTTTCAAGCACGATGGATGGAAGGCTGGTCTAGCTGGGACAGGGGCCCAAGGTTCAGGGTCCCCAGGCTGGGCACCACCAGCAAAGCGGCCCTGCACAACTGCTGTGGACACTGGCTTCCTACTACTCTAGGAAACACAGATCCTAGTTATGTGAAGTTAGGAATTACTACTTTCTGGGTTATACATCATCTCTCCTGTTTTCATTAGCTGTTAGCTTCATTAGGGGAGGAGAAAGGTTGAGCATGCCCAGCCACGTGTGGGGTTGGCAGCTGCTCTCGGGGATGGGGGCCAGGTGGGCGCCTCATTCTCCACCACAGTCCACCAGCTCCTCTCCCCCTGCTGCCACCAGCCCGCCTGGCATGACCTGCAGCAGCTGGCTTGACCGCTGCCCTGGGGAGCCACATCCACCTGGGTTGGCAAGCCAGGGGCCCTGGCATCGGCAGGACCGGAACAGAGGCAGAGAGCATCAAGGTCACGGGGCCGGGTGCCCGCTCTGCATGCTGCCATCCTGGATGGCAGGTGGTGTAGTTGGGACCCCAACCAAGCCACTCAGTGCCTGGCATCCCCAGGCCAGGAGCACTGCTGTGAGCTGCAAGGGATGGGTTTAGGATAGCTGTGCGGGCACCCGACACAGCACGGGGCGTGAGGACACAGGTCACACACACTGGTGGGGCTCTGTCTACACTGCCGGTGACAACACGACCACGCTCAGAAATCGCAGCAGACACAGTGGAAAGGTGGCACGTCCCCACCGCATATCTTACCGGGGCTAAAGAGAACTATAGCTTTAAGGTATGCGTACTCGTAGCCGTCTATCTCCAGCCGCGCCATGCTGTTGCAGAACTCCTGCAGCTTCCAGATGTGCTCCATGACCTGCTTCACGCGCTCGCCCGACAGTTTGTCTGCAAGGCAGCGGGTATTCTGGCTGGCACAGGACTGACGGGGTCCTCCAGCCCTGCTTGCCCATCCCAATCCTCGGCTCCTCTCCAATCCCGGCCCGACCCAGCAGCCCTACCTTCCTGGATGCTGTTCTGCAGGTGGTTGACGATGGCGGCCAGGATGGTGGACAGGCTCATGACCTGTGCACACTGCGCCAGGCCGAGGGTGAAGAGCTCGTTCCAGCAGGCGCGAACCAGGCTGGTGTTGCAGTCCTGCCTGGGGACAGAGGGTGCCAGCTGCGCTGCATGCTTGGCCTGCCTTCGGGTGTTCCCACGCATCACTGACCCAGTGACTGCAGTTCGCAGTCCCTTTACTGTGTGCCCATGCTGTGCCCGGGTAGCACCAGGGCACAGCTACTGCCAGGCCCACGCCTGGGCCCTGGCCCTAGCCCTGAGCACGTAGGGCGCTGGCTGAGGGGTGTAGAGGTGGCACGGCCGCTCTCCGGCCACTTACCCCAGTGCCTGGAAGGCGGGGATGGAGCGCGCCCAGTGCATGGACAGGAAGAGCAGGCGTGACGCGGACTCGCAGATGTAGTGCACGTTGAGGTACTCGGGCATGGGGCTGGGCATCGTCAGCTGTAGGCCGTGGTATGGAGGTTAGGGGTACATGTGCTGCCTTAGGGATCTGGGGTCTCAGCCCCTGAAGGCTGGTGGCCAGACCAAGATCTGTCCTGCTTGGGGTCCAGGCTGTGAGCTAAGGGTCTATGTGGGATCCTGGATACACAGTCATTCTACAGGGAGCTGACAGATGCCTGTGTGCCAGGGCAATGCCCCCTCATTGTGGAGCGGTGTCCTGCCCAGGGCAGCCGCAGGCAGCATGGAAGGGGACCCTCACTCCAGTGTGAGCACTGGATCTCTAATGTAGGGCTGGGGGAGCAAGGACTGTTCCCAGACCAGGGCCTCGGCACCCCCGAGTGGCCCACCTACTCCCTGTGGCTCTGGAGGACAGTGGAGAGATGGGTGGCTCCCACCCCAAGGGGCCACAGGCCATCAGTGCAGCTTGAGACATGACAGCCCTTGTAGGGACACCGCCATGGAACCCTGGGTCCAGGGGCTGGCTTGGTGCAGCGCCCCTCACCCCGTGCCACCACTCACCTTGAATGTGACGTGTGTGTCTGAGAGCAGCGGGCCCTCAACCTCGATGATGGGTGTCGACTGGTCCCTGCTGATGACGTGGATGCCACCTCCTCCGCTGGCATCCAGCCCGTCTGCCAGGCCAGGGGGTGAGGCACCGTCCGCAGTGTTAAGTGCTTTGGCTAAAGTGTCAAATGCCCTGCAAGCAGAGTGGGCTGTACTGTGGGCCTGCAGCTCAGAGGGCCTGGAGCCCTGCAGTTGCCACAAGGGACAGCAGGCCCCAAGTAGGAGAGGGGCGCCCACCACTGAGGAGTGCATCTGGGGGGACCCCCCAAGCTGGGTGCTCCCTCTCAAACCCATCTTCCAGAGAGGCAGAGCTTCTTTCCGCCTAGATGTCACTGCTCACAGTGTTAATACCCTCCCCAAACCACGCCCACAGTAAGTGGTGGGGCCAGAATTCTACCTCAGAGCCTGCGACATGAGTTCTGCTGTCAGATTAAGTAAGAGGAGGACGAGCGGGCAAGTCAGCACACCTGGGATCCCAGGAGGCTGAGGCAGGCGGACTGTGAGTTCAAGGCCACTCTGGACTATCTAGTGAGACCCCATCTCAAATCAAAATCAAACAACAACAACAACAACCCCAAAGCCCAGCCAGTGTTGTGGTGTATCCCAATACTTGGGACGCAGTCTGACGGCCATGAGTTTGAGGCCAGCCTGGGCTACATAGTGAATTTAAGGCCAGCCTGGACTATACAGTGAGACTCTATCTCAAAAAATAAAACAAAGGAAAAAATCCAAAACCCAAACAAAACAAAACCTTCAGAAAACCATGAGGGCCAGACCTGGCAGCCAGGACAGCAGCGGCGGGAACCGCAGCCAGGCTGAGCACAGCATGGAGGTGTCTGCTGCGTCCCCACTTGCCACTGTGGCCAGGCCCTGGCGGTCGAGCTCTAAACTCGTAACTCAGAAGAACAGGTTAGCACTGAAGCAGGGAGGAGCTGTCACCACGGAGGCACCTTAAAAAGGGTGACAGACAGCACTGTCCACCCCACACCCTGAATCTCCTCTTCTGTTGTCTGGGAAGAGGAGCAGTACGGCTGTGGACATGCCCATGCCTGCGACAGCTTCACAGCCCTTGATCCTCACAGTGGCGGCGTGGGACCTGGCTCATACCTGGTGATCTCGCTGGCAGACTGGTCCTCCGGCTGGATGTCCGAGGTGTCACCGTTGTTCAAGGATTCACTCAGGTTAGCCAGGGAGGTTACAACATTTGCCAGCGTGCCCAGGGCTCCCTGGCTTGTCTCCGCCTATGAGACAAGGGGTGGTGTTATAAAGGCACACATAGAGCAAAGGGTGTGATGAGGCCTGGACCCTTTTTCGGGTGTGCCTGATCCTCACAAGCAGCAGTACAGCTGTCACCACACAACCTGCACCTCCCACTCAGCACAAACTGCCAGCACCCAGCAGTCGGTGCCCAGGTGAGCGTGGTGGCACAGTGACACCGTGCACTGGTTCGGCAATGCCAAGGAAGGACCCTGGGTATAGCTGCGCATGGTGACCACAAGACACATGCCAGGGACCACATGCACAACCCCTGGGGACAGACAGTGGACGTGGGCCACAGCAGGGCGGGGCTGCAGGCCTGGAAGGAGCATCAGTGGCCGCCGGGTTGGCTGCGTTCAGGGACGAGGGAAACACCCTGGGGAGGGGGACGGCTGTGAAGCCACGACACTGCTCAGACCCAGCCCCTCCCCAGAGTGTGGTGTGCGGTGTGGATTTTACTTCAGTTACAAAACAAGCAGAGATGAACCAGGACACAGGGACAAACGCCTGTGTGTCTTGATTATGAAAGTGAGAAACTTCACGCCGCACTGCCAACATGGACTCATAAACATTTCCCAAAATGAAAGCTGCTTATAAACAAAATGAGTTACAGCTTTAGAACAAGTGAGAAATGAGAGTGAAAACTAAAATCCACGGAGATCAAAGCCAGCGAGTGCCCCAAGGCCCTGGGGTGGACACAGGAGCTGGTGAGGAGGCTGTGGGGTGCGTGACTCAAGGACACATCTGGTCCGCAGGTCACGGGGCCCAGAGTCTCGCTGTGCCCTGGCTCTGTGGGACAGAAGCACGGGGACCCTGCTGAGGGTGCTTCTGAGAGCTTTGTGCTCATTTCAACGTCGATTATTTTGAATGCACGATTGCTTCAAAGTAAAAAGTTTACAAAGCTACTCCTGCAAACACAGTTCAGGAGCTTTTTGCGCCTTCTCATTCCCAGCAGCCTCTGCAGGGCTCACACGGCTCTGCCTCAGGGAGGGGGATAGGGCAGCCAACTCCCGAGCCCTCTCCTGACTAGGTAAGTGCCATACAGCTTTTGCATTCGCCCTCCTTCTTCCAATGACAGTATTTGGATCTCAGTGAGTGCTCACTGTGCGCTGTTACAAATTGATTTCCTCTAAACTGGTGTGGTGCTGCATGCCTGTAATCTTAGTTAATGGGAGGCTGAGGCAGGATGATTGAAAGCTCAAGGCTGGGATGGGCAATTCAGGGAGACTCTGTCTCAAAATAACAAATAAAAAGGACTAGGGATGTAGCTCAGCATGAAGGCGCAGGGTTCAATCCTCAGTCCTGCAAGAGGAACTGGGGCTTTTGCAAAGGGCCATCACATGCAGGTAGCAGGTCTGCCAATGTGTGTACCAGGGAAAATCTCGGCAGTGAACGGGACCATGGAGTGTCCGCCACCCTGAAGTCCAGACCCCGGTACCTGACAGCACATCTGACCACCAGCCCTGGTTGAGCGAGGGTTCCCAAAAGCCACAGCGTCCCTGAGCAAGGTGTCCCAGGCTGCTGTGTGAGGTGGGGCGGGGAGGAAGCGGGACGCGCCTCACCTTGGAGTCTGTGGCCAGGAGCACCGTGCCATCCTCGCGGATCAGGGGCTGCTGGATGTTCACGAGCATCCCCGGGTCCAGGAGGCCTGGCTGTCTGCTCAAGATAGAGAAACCGGAGTGGCTCCCAGCAGCCACGCAGCGGCCACCAGGCCCCCCCGAGCCCCAGCGTCCATCCTGGCCGTGGTCTGGGACTTGTTGTCATATCCCCTGGGCGGATCTGATGCTCTCTGTTCGATGCCCTATGGGGCCTGGCTTCCCTCTTCCCCCTTCCTTCCTAACAAGCTCACAGACCCTGAAAAGAAGGCACCATTAACTCACGCTCTCGGGACCTCAGCTCAGGTGCTGCAACCAACCCCGCCTGGATACTGAGCTACGGAACACCTGCTGTCCTAGGTAGAGACACAGCCATGCTGCCCTTTGGGGAACAGGGGCTGACCTTGTGCCGTCCTTGTCGGCCACGAATGTGGGCGTGGCTATCAGGGGGCTCCGCAGGTCCTTCCGGATGTAGATCTTCTCTGTGGAAGCAGCGCAGTTGCTCGGCTTTTCCCGCTGTACGTCAAAGGGCTTCCGCTCACTCTGCACAGCTTTAATCACAATGAGAGGACTCGTGTTTAGAGAGGACTTCAGCCAGGAAGAGCTACCTCTCCCGCACACCTGTGCTGCAGGGGTCTGGAGCCAGCAGTGCAGGGAGGACCCAGGCGCGTGGAGCACAGGGTCGGCAGCGGGCATGGCGGGGGCTCCTCACAGAGATCCTCCAGGCCACACAATGGGGGAGCCCTCCAACTCCACGGGGCCCGAACAGCCTTGAGACTGCAGCAGTGTCCTCACCGCCCCTCCGCAGCCCGGCTCCACACGTGCCACAGGCCACAGAAGAGGGCAAGTGGCCCTAACAGGAGATACAAAGCCCAGAAACTCACTCGGTGTCCGGGAGCCACACTGAAGCCCGACTGGTCTCGAGTTTGCAGCCTTAGCTGTGGCTGCAGAAGGCTAATGCCAGTCTCTGCTTAGAGCACAGACATCACTGCTGACGGGGGCGGGGGCGGGGACGGCGCGGGGTGGGCCAGCCCGATGCCAGGCTGGTGCTCCTGGGACTTTCCTGCCTTGGGTACTGGGGATTGAACCAATGTCTCCACAGCGAGCCACACTCCCAGGCCTTTTTTCATTTTCTACGTTGAGACAGGGTCATCCTAGGTTGCTAGATAGCCCAGGCTGGGTCTCAGTCTCCCAGCCTGGAAGGACACCCAGCTTTGTTATTTGCTTTGGAAGAAGAATAAAATCACTGCCTAAAATAAAAACATCAAACTAGGCAGACACTGGGTTGGCCCTTCTAACGTCTCACACACAGCTCCGCAGTGAACTGTGCAGCACTGAAACGCATTGTGTGCAGTCTTCCCTCCGAGCCAGGCGCCCTCAGCAGGGTGCTGCCGGCCCAGGGGGCGAGCGTGCCCTGCCTGTGACCCCAGGCTGCTGGATTTGGAATTCCTAAGCCCAGTTCTGGCTCAGGAGCTGGGAGGAAGGGCAAAGCCTTCCCTGCAGCACCGGAGTGGGAGGACAGCATGGGGTGGGGACAGGGGCCGGGAGGCAGCTGGTCCCCAGTCCCGTAGGCAGTGGGTCCTTTAGGGGCAGGGCTGCAGTGCTCCGCCCCACCCCGCTGCTGCCCCGCAAGTGGAGCCGAGCCCCGAGCTGCTTCCCTGGAAGCCGGGCCCCACCCACCCCAGGCGGCCTCGCTCACACTCCATCTTCATGCCCATCTCCAGGCACTTCTTCAGCCGGCAGAACTGGCAGCGGTTGCGGTGGTGCTTGTTGATCACGCAGTCCTGGCTGCTGCGGCAGCTGTAGGTCAGGTTCTTCCTCACGCTCCTTTTGAAGAAGCCCTTGCAGCCTTCGCAGCTGACGGCCCCATAGTGCCGGCCTGGGAGGAGAGGGCGGTGAGCTCCACATCACGTCTGTGCAGGGTTTCTGCACCCGGCACACAGCAGCTCATGCAAGCAGCGGGCTCTGAGCCCCTCCGCATGCAGCTGGGTGCCTGTGTCTGGCACAACTGCTTCCGGGCCCCTCACACCCTGGTCCTACTTTCCCGGGGGTGTGGCTGGGCTGGGCTGGGCTGGGCTGGCTGGGCCTCAGACCCTTGGGAGCAGACCTGGCGGCTGTGGCCTGTCCAGGCCACCCCTTACCCATGACCAGAAAGAGCGTCCTGCCTCGGCGGACCCCTCCTGGTGCACAAGGCGCTGTCACACAGACTCCCCCCTTTCTTCCTAGTGGATGTGAGCCTCTGCCCGTTGCAGCCATGACACTGCAGGGACATGGTGTTCCCCAGGATGTGCCCTTCTGGTGGCCACCGAGGTCCCCTGGCCTAAGTTTCCGAGTTGGAGCTGTTTCCCAGAGCGCACCTGGGGGACCCCAAGTTTGCTCTTGGGGAACAGGAACAGTGGTGCTGAAACCTCCGGAGAGCACTGCTTTCCCTTCCTGGTGCGCTGTGCGTGGGGTGACTTGGGCTCAGAGCCCTGCCAGGTGAGGGGACCATGGGCTCAGAGCCTGCAGCATGCCTTTCCCTGCCGGGCAGGGACTTGGGTTCTTGGTGTGACACTCTGCAGGGAAGGCAGGTCTCCGAGGAGTTAGCGTCAGGGGAAAGTGGCAAATGCCAAGAAGTGTGGGCCACGTGGCCTTCCTAATGTGGCGAAGGAATCAGGCTAACTTCCAGGGATGGGGAGCAAGGCAGGCAGAGAAGAGTGGCCTGGAGGGAGCAGGATCCCAGACCATCTGCCCAGAGGCTATGGCCAATCCCTTTCTTCCTTCCTTGAGACAGGGTCTCACTATGCAGTTCAGGCTGGTCTTGAACTCACTTTGTAGCCCAGGCTGGCTTCTGATTTGTGGTGATCCTCCTGCCTCAGCCTCCCTAGTGCTAGGATTACAGGCATGTGCCACCACGCCCGGCCTCTTCTCTAAGTAAACACAAACAACCAAACCCAGGACAAGCAAGTGTCCATCTGCAGCTGTGCTGTCAGCGCCTCCCCATTCCTGTTCCCTGGCCACTGCGTGGTTGGACCCTGTCTTCCAGGTCCCTCCTCCACAGCCCTCCACACATGGCCCAGGCTGGCACTGTCCCTGCTGGGTACGGCCACCAGGGTGTCTGCACCAGGGTGGCTACCTCCTAGGCCATCACCCAGTGGGTCCAGGGCCGGCCCAGGGAGGCCTCTGGTGGAGGGGCAAAGCCTGTGCAGGTGGAAATCAGGCTCTCACCACACAGAAACATGACCCCCCAGGAGTCCTGGGAGTCGGTGCCCTGCCTCTCTTTCTAATTCCTCAGAGGTCACTGTGCTTATTTCCTCACATTGCTGGCTGTTCAGAGGAGTGGAGCCCAAGTCTGCAGCCTGCACAGCCACCACACACCCACACCCATCCCCCCCAACACACAGGGGGCTTCCTGAACACCCCACCACAGCAGGCCACCTACCCGAGGCTTTGTCGCCGCAGACCACACAGTACTCCACCACCTGCGGCCGCTGGAGCTCGGCCTTCCCCAGCAGCCGCTCCACAGACGCCGAATCCGTGACGATCTAGGGAGATCAGCAGACAGATGGCTCAGAATCGGGCTGGGAGTGGGGCGGTGTGTAACTGACTCCCGTCCCGGGTCCTCGCTGGAGCTCGAGCAGAGCGGGAAACTCCAGCTGGCACCTGCTGGCACCTGGGTGGCCTGTGGCCGGGGTTCCAGCAGAACTTGCCTCTCTGGCAACCATCCTGGAACAGGCCACACGGAGAAGGGGGAGGCCTCCCGGCACCTCCCCATCAGGGAGCACTGGAAAGGACTCGAGAGGCGCCAGTCTCCTGGGACAGCTGTGGCACGGGGATCAGAATGCATGTCCTCCAACACCTGTAGATGGCGCTCTGGGGCACACAGTGCCACCACCTGGGAGAGCACTGTAATGCTCATCCCCATGAGGAGGAGATTTAAATCCTATCTGGGAGCCCAGGACAAGCCTCCACACGAAGGCTGCCCGCAGGCGCCGCACATGCCACTGTGTCACCATGGCCCTGCCTGACCGAGCAAGGGTGCACTAAACACGCAGCTACCCTGAAAGCAGAGCACATTGAGCGTGGAGCCCAGCCATGCGGGGAAAGTCATTCTCTGCCTCCTGCAGTTTCCGCAGTGACAAGGGACATTCCTTGGCTGTCAGGAGGAGATTCAGACCCAAGCTCCAACATGGCAAGCCACGGGCACAGCACGTTACGGGAAATGAGCCAGTCACAAAGGGCGGACTCTGTGTGACCACGGCTATGAGCTGGTCCCTGGGGCCGTCGGATTCACACAAACAGAAGGCACCGTTCAGTGGGTGCAGAACGGTCACTCGTGAGTGTCCCCAACTTGGAGCACTCGTGTGCCCCTCCCACAGCAGGGGCCTCCGCGCAGGAGGACCGAGAGGCGCAGACGCATGCACAGCGCTCCGAGGAACCCAGGACTGGTTCCCGCGGTGAACGTCCTATCACGTCCATCCGCCTGGGTGCAAATAAACACGGAGTTCGGAACTCGCGGTGGTCGGGACAGGCTGGAGGGAAGGGTTCTCGTCCAGCTGGGTCGCCCCAGATGGCATCTCTAAAATGTCCCGGGCTGAGCTGCCCGGGCCCTCGCCAGTGAAGGGTCCTTCGGGGCTCAGTGACCCCGGGGAGCCCAGCAACTCCCAGGAAGACTGTGCCGCCATGAGAGGCCGAGGCAGGCAGGGACAGAGCCGCGGGGCCTCACCTGGATCCTGCCCGGCACCAGGCTGTCCGAGGTGGTGAAGATGAGCTGCTTGGCGCTGGGCGTCTCCGGGGAAGCCAGGATCACCTTCCCAGGGCCAGCGCCATCGGGGCTGGTCAGGAGGAACTGCTGCTTGGAGGAGCCCGAGGCGTCCACTGCGGTGACAATCTGGATCTTCTGTCCCGTCTGCTGGTCTGTCACAATCTGCAGGGCAACGCGAGGCCACTTGGTGAGCTCAGGCGCCCGTGGGGGGGCACACAGTCAAAGCTTTTCTGGAACAACCTCACAGCGCTGATTTTATGCTAGGATCACAGCTTCAGCACTACTTGCAGAGGCAGGAGTGAAGGCAGTCAGAGGGAGGGATGACGCGGCTCGCTGCCTGGTGCAGCGGAACACTGAGCACTGCGCACGGTTGCTCAGTCACCGGTCCTGCGCCCTACAGGCTCCCAGGCCTCCTCTCGGCCCTTCCACAACCTCTGACAACCTCAGTCCCGAACCTCGCACTGCACAGGCCGGGGCTGGGGATGCTCAGTCACACAGATGAGGGGGTCAGGGGGTGACCCCCAGTCTGTCTAGCCTGAGCCAATGCTCTTCCCGTCTAGGCTGCCACCCTTGTGAAATCAGCCTCCCTCCCAGCTTTCAGATGAAACGCGATGGTTATGAGTTAGAATACGCTGAAATGAACAAGAAGCCAGGTGTGGGGGCACGGGGCTGTAACCCAGTGCTGTGGAGGCTGAGGCAGGAGGATCCCTGCAAGTTCCAGGCCAGCTTAGGATACATAGCAAGATCCTGTCTCAAAAAAACTAAAAAACAAAAAACAAACACCCCCCGCCCCAAATCCAACCAAATGAAGAACACACTGAAGCCTGGCCTGGCCGTGAGGTCACAGAGGTCAGCGACCGTGTGGAGTGGTACCCGGAGTAGCCAGTGGCTCACAGCCCACACAGGAACGTTTCCAGCTGTGTTCGCTGCACAGGGAGCTCCCACCTGCCTCAGGCACTTCCCTATGACCTCAGCTCCATGCCAGAGGCAGGTCAGCAACACCGTCTCGTCTCGGGGCCACCGGGGGGCTGAGCACCGTGCTAGTGTGACAATCCGGGATGCACGCCTCCCTCAAGACCTCAGCACAGCCTCCAGAGCCTTCCAGCCCAGGTCCTTGTCTGCCCCTGCGTCACTGGGGAACAGAACCCAATAGGGTGGTGTGGGGGAGAGGTGTGTGCTTCTCCTGCCTCAGCCTCTTGAGGGCCGGGATGACAGGCGTGTGCCACACGCCTGGTGTAGATTAGGCACCGATAACCAGTATCCACAGAGCACCAAGCACCAGCACCCTGCAAATCTTCATGCGGACATCCTGTGGCTCCTCGCCACCAACTACGAGGCAAGTACTGCTGTTGTGTGGTTTCCAAGGGGAAAAAGTGATGCCCTTAAAGCTGTGATTGCCCAGGACAGAAGCTATACGGGGGGTACAGGATGTGTCTACCGGTGAAGACGGCCCATTTGGCACCAGGCAGTGATCCAATGAGCCTTCCTTCCCTGTGCCATAGTCTCAAAGCTCAGACTTCTGCTTTAGAAGTCAGAGTGGAACATGCTAGTGCATGCCTACAATCCAGCACTCGGGAGGCCGAGGCAGGAGGATGGCTGTGAGTTTGAGGCAGCCTGGGCTACACAGGACAAGGCCAGCCTGTACTACATAGGGAGACCATGTCTCAAAGAACAAAAAAACAAAACCACAAGAAAAGCTCAGTGGGGTGGGGCACGACCGTAATCCCAGTGATCCCAGCATCAGGAGGCTCTCCATGAGTTAGGGGCCAGCCTGGGATACACAGTGAGTCTGAGGCCAGCTTAGACTACAGAGACCTTGTTTCAAAAAACACAAACAATAACAGCAACAGTGAGTTAGTGGCATGAACATCAACTGTGTTTTTGCAGAGACGGGGACTGCCTGGGCCGGCTGGGCGGTACCTGGATGCGCTGGGGTGAGGCAACTGCGGAGTCGGTGGAGATGATCTGGATGCGCGGGGAGGGGCTGGTCATCCCTGGAGCTTCCGGCCGCGGGGTCTGTGCACGTGGGACCTGCGGGAGATCACCGGTCAGAGGTGGATCTGAGACGCCAAGGAAGCTGCCGGGGCGACCCGACTGGTGAGATGCTGCACCGGCGTGGCCTGGGAGACGGGGGCCTGGGAGATGGAAGCATGACACGGCCAGCTGCCCCGAGGGGTGTGGGTGCGAGGGCGGGTTGGGGGAGCAGCCTCGGTTCTGCTCTGCGCACTCAGATGAGCCACCTTCAGAGACGGGCCTGGGACCCTCCTCCTCCCCAGCCAGCTGCGTACCCCTCCAGATGGCTGTGGACGGGATAGCAGGGCCAGCTCGGTGCTCAGGAAGGCTCCCCACCCAGCCGCGGGGTGACAGCTCTGGGAAAAGCTGGCAGCACAGGAGTACTCAGTCCTACAGCTCAGCCGGTGCCCACCAGAGCAGGGCTGAAGGTACCAGTGCCCACTGGTACTTGAATGAGAAGGTATTACTATCATGGGTTAACAGCAGATCGTGAACTGCTCGGCGTGGTGGCACATGCCTGTAATCCCAGCACTGCAGAGGCTGAGGCAGGAGGATCTCAGACCTGGAGACCAACCTGGGCTACACAGTCAGACTGTATCTCAAATAATAACAAGTATTAGCCATGCGTGGTGACGCACACTTGTGATCCCAGTACTCAGGAGGCTGAGGCAGAAGAATTACTGTGACCTCAAGACCAACCTAGGCTGTGTAGTGACATAGTGAGTTCAAGGCCAACCGGCATTACAAAGGGAAACCCTGTCTCAAAAAACCAAAACAAAAAACAAAAGCACAAAAAAGTATATGAGTATATCATGAACCAATCTATACTTTACAAACTGTGCAAATACAGGAGAGAATATTCCCTAACTCATTCTGTGGGGCCAATAATATCTGATATCAAAACAGGACAGAGACATAACAAGGAAACTCTAGGCCAATACTCATTATGAATAGAGATGTAAAAAAAAAAATTCAACCAAAGAAAAGCACGCAAAGCTGATGCACCAGCTAGAGTGAGTTGTTTTTTTTTTTTTTTTTTTTGGTCTTTTTGAGACAGGATCTCACTCTGCAGTTCAGGCTGGCCTTGAGCTCACTTTGTAGCCCAGGCTGATCTTGAACTCACAACGATCCTCCTGCCTCAGTCTCCTGAATGCTGGGATTACAGGTGTGCGCCACCACACCCGGTTGTTTTCTGTTTTTGTTTTGTTTTTTTTTTTTGGTCTTTTTGAGACAAGGTCTCATTGTGCAGTTCAGGCTGGCGTTGAGCTCACTTTGTAGGTGAGGCTGGTCTTGAACTTGCAATGATCCTCCTGACTCAGCCTCCCAGAGTGCTGGGATTATAGGCGTGTGCCACCACACCCCGCCAGCCAGAGTGAGTTTATCTGGGGAGTGCATGGCTGGCTCAGCTGTTTAAAACACCACACTAACAGAATAAATTAAACGCTCTACATACAGAAAATCCTATGGAATCCACACAAAAGTAAAAACGATTACGGCTGAAAAATGAGTTCCAAGGCTGCAGGACACAGGATCCATGAACAACTGACTGCATTTCTACCCAATAGCCACAGCTGTCTGAGAGGAAGCCACGGAAACAGGAGGTGTCGTCGAACATGGTATCAGTGTATTCAGCAACAAATTTAGCCAAGCAAGCGCAAGAGTTGGGCCAGAAGATCTAATACTACGAAATGGCAAGCCTCAGAGTGCCTCAGTTTGATGTAATCCCTGCCAAAAATCCAGGTGTTTTTTTGTTTTTTCATAAATCTACCAGCTGACCCTAAAACTCACATGGAAATACAAGGGACCCAGAGTAGCCAAAAGAATCTTGCAAAAGGAAAGCAAAGTTGGAAGACACACATTTCTTTCCAAAACCGAATACAAACCCACTCTAGTCAAGACAGCATGGGATTAGGCATCTTAATTTTGAGTATTTACCAAATCAATGTGAAATGAGTTTGTCAAAAGCTGTCAACATGTCCCAGTTCAGCGGAGCAATATTCATGGGGTGGCCCCAAGTGGCTGTCATCAGGGGAATGGACGAGGAGACCACCATACCCACACAACGGAATGCAGCCTGCAGCCTGCCGCCCGCAATGCGTTCAGAGGAAATGTGCCCCGTCAGGGAGGCGCATCCACACATTCCTGCTTCCGTGTGGCATCTGAAGTGACCGAGGGCATGGAACCAGAGCAGAACGTGGCATCAGAGGCTGCGGCTGGAACGCGGAGAGGGATGACAGTCCCAGGTGACGGGCCACACAACCATGTCTTCAGATATGCCGCACCGGGTGGGGCAACGTGAGTGCACGCTGCACGGGTCAGAGCTGCTCAGGGCCAAGTTCACAGGCTCCGCCCTGTGCTGATTAGCTCCACTCAATCACTGCGCACCTTTCTGCACCCCATGAACATCTGCACCACCAACTGCATTTACAACCCAGACACCGCTGCAGAGTTGACACAGAGACACAGAATGATGGGACAGAACTGAGGCCCCGGAAAGGAGCTCCCAGATGCTCAGTGATCCTGATACACATAGAGACAGCCGCGTGTCAGCCTCTAGGGGAGTGCTGCGGAGATGACCCAGTGCTGTGGTGTGGGCCTGAGTGACTGCACCTTCAAAGGCATGGCTTTTTTTCTTTTTTTTGTGGCGCTGGGAATCAAGCCCTGGCAAAGTTGCTTTCTTTTTTTTTTTTTTCCAGTACCGGGAATTCATCTTGCGCTTGCCAGGCAGGTGCTGTACCGCTGAGCTAAATCCCTAGCCCCAAAATGAAAGCAGTCTTTATTGGGGCGGGGGCAGTTTTTTTTCCGGTACCGGGAATCGAATTCATGACCTTGCGCTTGCCAGGCAGGTGCTGTGCCGCTGAGCTAAACCCCCAGCCCCCAAAGTTGCTTTCTTACTATAGGTAAAGCCCCCTAGCACTATTACCAGGAGCCAGCCCAGACCCCTTAGGTATCTGGGTCCCTCCCGGGTGGGTGGCTGGGTGGAGCTCTGCTCCCTGAGCGCCAAGCCCGCGCAGGCCTACTGCCTGTCTTCAGCACAGGAACGGATGCAGAAGCATCACCTTGAATGACCTGCTGACCCCAAAAACATCACACCTGATGTCAGACACAGTCACAGAGACCGCAATCACAGGGTTCCATTCACCTCCAACCCGTGCAGGCAAACCCACACGCACGGGAAAGGGTTAGTGTTATGCAGGGCCAGGGCCTGGGGTGTCTTCCTCGGGTAATAAAGCGCTCAGGAGCCAGACTGGTGACCGGCTGCACAACTGTATGAAGAACTAAAAACCAAGCTGGGAGTGGTGGCACATGCCTGTAATCCCAGTAATCAGGAGACTGAGGCAG